AAGATGTCCATAAATTGCTTAGCAATAGGCCCTCAGTCACTCGACGGGGCCTCAATGAGCCCCTCAATTGCTAAACCATCTTGTCTAACTTGCTAGATAAAACTTTAAAGACAATAACGCGGCACTACATTGCTAAATAATGAGGCCTTAATTGTTAGATATTACCTTAAAGACGCCAACGTGTCCTTAAATTGCGAATGTATAGTTCCAAAATAGCTAGATTGGACCATCATATGAGACCAATTATGTAGCAATTTAGAGATCCTTCTGATGTATAAAGGATCCCCAAATAACAATGCAGGCCTCATTATGTAGCAATTAAGGGATCCTTCTGGTGTATATAGGACCCCAAATAACAATGCATACATCATGTATCAATTAAGGGATCCTTCTGATGTATATAGGACCCCAAATAACAATGCAAGCCCCATCATGTAGCAATTAAGGGATCCTTCTGATGTATATAGGACCCCAAATAACAATGCAAGCCCCATCATGTATCAATTAAGGGATCCTTCTGATGTACATAGGACCCCAACTAACGATGCAAGCCCCCATTATGTAGCAATTAAGGGTTCCTTCTGATGTATATAGGACCCCATCTAACTATGCAGGCCCCATTATGTAGCAATTAAGGGATCCTTCTGATGTATATAGGACCCCATCTAGCAATTCATGCCCCCGTCATGTAGCAACTATGGGATCCTTCTGATGTATATAGGACCAATTATGTAGCAATTTAGAGATCCCTCTGATGTATATAGGACCCCATCTAGCAATTCATGCCCCCGTCATGTAGCAACTATGGGATCCTTCTGATGTATATAGGACCCCATCTAGCAATTCATGCCCCCGTCATGTAGCAACTATGGGATCCTTCTGATGTATATGAGACCAATTATGTAGCAATTTAGAGATCCTTCTGATGTATAAAGGATCCCCAAATAACAATGCAGGCCTCATTATGTAGCAATTAAGGGATCCTTCTGGTGTATATAGGACCCCAAATAACAATGCATACATCATGTCTCAATTAAGGGATCCTTCTGATGTTTAAAGGACCCCAAATAACAATGCAGGCCCCATTATGTAGCAATTAAGAGATCCTTCCGATGTATATAGGACCCCATCTAACAATGCAGGCCCCATTATGTAGCAATAAGGGATCCTTCTGATGTATATAGGATCCCATAACAATGCAGGCCCCATTATGTAGCAATAAGGGATCCTTCTGATGTATATAAGACCCAATCTAGCAATGCCGATCCACATCGTGTAACAATTAAGGAATCCCTCTGATGTATAGGACCCCATCTAGCAATCCATGCCCCCATCATGTAGCAATTATGGCATCCCTCTGATGTATATAGGACCCATTCTAGCAATATAGGCCACAATCATGTAGCAATTAAGGGATCCTTCTGATGTATATAGGACCCCAACTAGCAATGTATGCCCCCAGTATGTAGCAATTAAGGGATCCTTCTGATGTATATAGGACCCCAACTAGCAATGTATGCCCCCAGTATGTAGCAATTAAGGGATCCTTCTGATGTACATAGGACCCCAACTAGCAATGTATGCCCCCAGTATGTAGCAATTAAGGGATCCTTCTGATGTACATAGGACCCCAACTAGCAATGTATGCCCCCAGTATGTAGCAATTAAGGGATCCTTCTGATGTACATAGGACCCCAACTAGCAATGTATGCCCCCAGTATGTAGCAATTAAGGGATCCTTCTGATGTACATAGGACCCCAACTAGCAATGTATGCCCCCAGTATGTACCAATTAAGGGTTCCCTCTGATGTACATAGGACCCCAACTAGCAATGTATGCCCCCAGTATGTACCAATTAAGGGTTCCTTCTGATGTATATAGGACCCCAACTAGCAATGTATGCCCCCAGTATGTAGCAATTAAGGGATCCTTCTGATGTACATAGGACCCCAACTAGCAATGTATGCCCCCAGTATGTACCAATTAAGGGTTCCCTCTGATGTATATAGGACCCCATCTAACAATGCAGGCCCCATTATGTAGCAATAATGGATCCTTCTGATGTATATAGGGCCCCGTCTAGCTATATGGGCCTCGTCATAGAGCAACTAAGGGATCCTTCTGATGTATACAGGACCCCATCTATCAATATGGGCCTCGTCATAGAGCAATTAAGGGATCCTTCTGATGTCTATAGGACCCCATCTAGCAATATGGACCCCATCATAGAGCAATTAACAATCCTTTCGAATGTAAAGGATCCCTTGCTCTGATGTAGAAGGACACCGCCCAATGGAATTGGATTAGAACTTTTGGTCACGTAAGCCACAGGTTTATCATTTCCAGAAATAATTGACTGATCAAAGGATGGACAGACAGACAGATGAAGTTAAACTTAAACAATAAATTAAGAAATAAATAAAAAATATCCAACCCCCACTTCGTGGAGATGGATAAATAGACCAATTAAACAATAAAAAAGCGTGACATAAAAAATTGATGAAAGCAGCTACAGGTGGACTATATCTGACACCCGCCTAACTGCTCGGAAAAAAATAAAATATTACAAAGAGCAGCTACAGGTGGACTATATCTGACACCCGCCTAACTGCTCGGAAACAAATAAAATATTACAAAGAGCAGCTACAGGTGGACTATATCTGACACCCGCCTAACTGCTCGGAAACAAATAAAAAAAACTGAAAAGCAGCTACAGGTGGACTATATCTGACACCCGCCTAACTGCTAAAAAATAAAAATCATATTTATGAAAGGAATTCAAATATATCCAACCTCCACCAGCAGTTACAGGTGGACTATATCTGACACCCGCCTAACTGCTGAAAAAACATTATAGTTACTGCAAAAAAAATGTTTTCAGTAAAAAGGTAGAAAATGTTTCAAAAGGTAAAAACAGCAAAAAGTGCAGCAACTACTAAAAAAAGTAAAATGTAGTGAAAAGTGATTTTTAAGAAAATTAAGATTTAAATCAATGAAAATGTCCGCCCAGTGAACATGACCATTAGCCAACATAACCAAAACCAAGTCAGATGCTGACACTAGTTTATTGCTCTCGTATCTGTTTACGGTTGAAGTTAAACAGATGGACGGCCTTATGTCCCCCACCATATTTCTTAAAACAAGGGAACCTTCTTCCTCTTCTTTTTCCCAGACACCGTAATGTTGTCAACTGAACAATTGCTCAATGATATATCATTTGTTGAAATTGGGGTCTTGTGTGATAGGGTACTGCATGTACAGAACTCCCGCATACAGTACCTTCATCTTTTTGCATTACACATCATACCATACCTTTCGGGCATCACCATGTAGCAATCTTGGAACTATAACTTTGCAATGAAAGGACACCTCGAAATCTTCAAGGCCCAATCTAACAATTTAGGCCTCATTCCTTAGCAATGTAATGCCACGTTGAAGTCTTTAATGCCCTTTCTAGCAAGTTAGGCATGATAATCTAGCAATTAGGGACACGTTGCGGCCCCGTTTAGCGACTTAGGCCCTATTACTTGGCAGTCAATGAACAACTTGAGGTCTTAAGGGCCCTCTCTAGCAATTTAAACCCCGCAAATAAAGGACTCTTTGGAGTATATGGAGCTCCATCTAGCCATTAAGACCCTATGACTTAGCAATTAGAGGATACTTTAAGATATTTGAGGTCCCAACGAGCAATTTAAATACTACAACTTAGCAATCAAGGGACACTTCAGTGTCATATAAGCCATCAAAAGAACTATATATAAAAATATATTTGCTTGTGCGTAAGGCATCAGAAGAACTACATGTTAATAGATATTTACTTGTACGTAAGGCATTGAAAGAACTGCATGTTAAAAGATGTTTGCTTGGATGAACGGCATCAGAAGAACTACATGTTAAAAGAGATTTGCTTGATTGCAAGGCATTGAAAGAACTGCATGTCAAAAGATATTTGCTTGGATGAAGGGCATCAGAAGAACTGCATGTCAAAAGATATTTGCTTGGATGAACGGCATCAGAAGAACTACATGTTAAAAGAGATTTGCTTGATTGCAAGGCATTGAAAGAACTGCATGTCAAAAGATATTTGCTTGGATGAACGGCATCAGAAGAACTACATGTTAAAAGAGATTTGCTTGTGCGTAAGGCATTGGAAGAACTACAAGTGGAAATATATTTGTTTGTATGTAAGGCATCAGAAAAACTACATGTTAAAAGAGATTTGCTTGTGCGTAAGGCATTGGAAGAACTACAAGTGGAAATATATTTGCTTGTATGGAAGATATTAAAAGAACTTAAACTTATTGGATTGTATGAAAGGCATTGGAGGAACATTTTGATTTGCTGAAGTTAGAGCTAGTAATACTCGTGTTGCGAGGAGGATTAATGTAAAAAATTGTTAAGAGTAATCCCATGTAGAAAATTGAAATGTAAGGGAGCATCTCAACAGCTCAATGGTAGGATTAACACTAGTTGCCGTTCATTTGTAACCCTTCCCTCCCCTATGTCAGATAAAGAACTATCCCCCAACTCAGCAAATAGAGTTGATATTCTCACACTGATTTTATGAGATGCTCCCTTATAAGCATTACATTAAATTGAGCCGAGCGTGGCGCTGATATTGCACGTATTACATTCAGTATACAGTACATGTACACCATTGCTCATATTCAATACTTCTTAATTTTCCTGATTTTTTCTAATGAGTGTTTTCCAAAATACATATTTCTTTACTTGAGATTTTAGAATTTAACATATCATATGAGTAATGGTGTACATTTTGGAAAGATTGGATTCAGTATGGACCATTTGCTAACCATCTCACGGGGAGTAAGCCAGCCCCCCCCCTCTGTATTATCCTAGGTTTTAATATAGACTATAAAAGAGGGGAGGGTGACTTACTCCCCGAGAACCATCATATGAATCACGCTGTCACAAACCATATGATCTTGAACGTACATCAACAGCAGTTTACCAAAGCTGTATGATGTTCGTGATGAGCTTTGATTGTAACCGCTCTACAGTTCAAGTGGAGGTGATTCGATCATTTGGTTTTTTGATGACCTCCGTTCACAATCACAAGTACTGTCATGGTGGAGCTGTCATCTGATGTTTGTGTGAGCTCTGATTGGAATCCCATGGACAGTTCAAGTGGAGCTGTTTTAGGTGATGCTGTGATGAGCTCTTCAGAGTTCAAGTCGAGCTGGTTCATTTGATTTTGACGGCTTGTATCACGATGCATGTTGCAGGTACAGTTCAAGTGGAGGTGGTTGCGTTGATCTTTGATCGTTATTGCAAAGACAGTTCATGTTACTGCTGGTCCATATGTGGAGAGTTCCGATTGTAATCGCGTGTGTCAAGGCCAGATTCCTGAGCCCTCGGTGAACAAAACTGTACACGAGCATGTCATGGCGCAAGAAATGTTAAATACGCCTCACATACTGATGGGCTGCTCAACCGACCCACCCCGATGCCACCTCCTGCCAAGCAATTTGGAAAATGGCAAGATGACGTGTCGAGGCAGATGGAATTGCCAAGTCACCCGGGTGGGCCGGGAGCCAGGACATTTTCGTTTGTGGAGAAGACGTCTCATTCCTCGGAATTATCCGAGGAACTCTCATAAACCAGGCTGGAATCTGGGCTTATGAGGGAGACTTCACTTGGTTCTCTCTTCAAAGGAGCAACTGAAACATAGAGAAAAACATTCATGATTAGTGCATCAGATTTGGAGCTTTTTTCATCTGATGTGGCGAGCTCTATGATTAGAGCTCATCACATCATCAGATGTGGAGCTGTTTCGTCTGAATGCTGAGGTGAGCTCTATGATCAGAGCTCATCACAACATCAGATGTGGAGCTGATTCATCTAAAGGTGTGGTGAGCTCTATGATCAGAGCTCATCACAACATCAGATGTGGAGCTGTTTCATTTGAATATGCTGTGGTGAGCTCTAGTTATAAAGTTCAACTAACTTCAATTTTTATGTGATGTTGTGATGTACTCTGATATAATCACGGGCGTTGAGTTTGATTAAAGAAACATGAATCTGATCGTATTAAAGATTAAATAAAGACAAACTAGAGATTGATATTTATTTACCTGGCTTTTTTGGTGCAGTAGGCGGGTGTGGCACCATGAGATTAGGCAGATTAGGGAGCAGTCCAGTGTTTGGAACTGATGGCTTATTCAGCTGTTCAACCATCTTCTCTATGGAGATTTCTAATAACATAATGAAAAAATGTCTTTTTGTTTCATTCTTTTTATGTACGTGTATGTAAATTGATGTTTGTTATCTGAAATTATTTATTTAAGAAAATAATAAAAGCATTATCAACTGTGAATCACATTTGACATAATTTCATTTTTCATGAAACATATTCTGTTTCCATTTTTCCATATTTACAGTAAAACCCCTGAAGTTGAACACCTCTAAAATTGGAACACTTGTATAAATGGAACATTTTCCCCAATCCCTGTAACTGACTAATTAATGTAAATGAACCTCTGCAAGTGAATCATTCTGAAGTAGAACACTATTTTGAGGTACCAGAGGTCGTTCATTATACGGCTTTTAAAGCGATTTATATAATCATTGTATGATTAGCTGGTATCAATGCATCAATGAGGCGAAAAAGAAAAATGTTACACTTAGGAGGTGACAAAAATGTCATAAATGAATATTCTCACTTTGCTTTGTGGCATGCCTGGCGCCCATCTGTGTGGTAAGTCGAGGGCGGCTAGGAGGACGCGGAACATGAGCAACTGATTCTTCGGCTGGTGCTGCTGATGGTGCAGGTTCTGGATCTATAGATAAGAATACGACAAAATATTGAAAATAATACAAACAATACAAAGAGAATTTTAAAAGGATACTAAGTACATTTTGTTCCTATATCAACCCAAAAATGATTCTAATTCATAATAATGATTTGTGACTAAATAAATGCTTTGGTATAAATTTTATTTTCTGGAAACATCAAAACTTGAAGCAGTTTGCTAACATTTGTAACCTTCTTAGAGCACTTAGGGAGATAAGAAGTTCAAAATTGAAACAAAGGCAAATAAACAGCAAAGACTGATCCTTAACACGATTTGTTAGTAAATATGAATTTGAAATTTATTTTTTATGGTATGAACACTTGTTGTATAACTAAGCATTTACATACATGTACAATTTGTATTTATTCCCATGAAGTAACTTGAAAAAACTATCAACATTAGGGGCAGATGTAAGAGGTGAACAACATTTCAAGAAAATTTGTCTGTCAAGACAACAGGCAATATTTGCGCCATATGGAATTTGATCTTTCATTAGTTCATTGGCTTTCCTAAAGGTTGATGGTCAAAGTCGTGTGTTACCTTTTGCCTGTCCTTGTCTTTGCCTAGGGAAGCTAGACTTTGGCCGTATTTGAGGGCGAGCTGGCGGTTGTGGTGCATGTGATGTTCTCAACGGGTTAGATGGATAATACCCGTCTATTGCTAAAAAATAACATAAAAAATTCACATCAAGCAAGATCAGCAGGTGTACTGATAAAATATCAATTATGTAACTACTTCTCTTCAACTGGGATTGTTAATTGTTAATGAGGCTTTGATCATTCTTATTGAGTCAAAACATGGAGAAGAATTATCAAAGCTCATCAAGGAAGGTTCTTTTTATACATTATGCAAATTTATTTCAAATAATCAATACAATGGAGAATGGTGATGTTTCCCATATTCAAGAATGATGATGTTTCCCATATTCAAGAATGATGATGTTTCCCATATTCAAGAATGATGATCTTTCCCATATTCAAGAATGATGATCTTTCCCATATTCAAGAATGATGATCTTTCCCATATTCAAGAATGATGATCTTTCCCATATTCAAGAATGATGATCTTTCCCATATTCAAGAATGACGATCTTTCCCATATTCAAGAATGATGATCTTTCCCACATTCAAGAATGATGATCTTTCCCATATTCAAGAATGATGATCTTTCCCATATTCAAGAATGATGATGTTTCCCATATTCAAGAATGATGATCTTTCCCATATTCAAGAATGATGATCTTTCCCACATTCAAGAATGATGATCTTTCCCATATTCAAGAATGGTGATGCTTCCCACATTCAAGAATGATGATCTTTCCCATATTCAAGAATGATGATCTTTCCCACATTCAAGAATGATGATCTTTCCCATATTCAAGAATGACGATCTTTCTCATATTCAAGAAGGTTTAGATGATCTTTCTCGTATATACAAATGCCAAATTCTTTATATTTATACCTATTTTCACAGTCCTTGCATTTATCTTCGGAAACATGCATTCAGGTGGCTTTGTTATTGCCTTCTCTGAAAAAATAAAAATAAAATGTGTTACCTCACCCATGTTAAACAGGATGTTCCAAAATGCATAACATTGGTGTGATGTTTAACTTTAGTGAGGACATACAATAGTACATCTGTATGTCCTCACTTGAGTTGAATATCTCACCATTGTTATACAGTACATCAATTTAATTTACCCACACTCTGTATTTACAGTTTTTGGGATAATCATTTAAGATTCTTTAAAATTCAGTTGAACTTAGAATGGTTTGGGCAGAGTTAAGAAAATTTCAATTGAGTATATCCATTTACTTTAGTAATTCAAAAAGGTTACTGTAAAACATTGAATTCTTTTGAGCAATATTCACAGATTTTTACATTTGTTTTTTGCATACTCTTCTCATGTTTTCACAATTTTTCAATAGCTCACACAATAGAATTTTAAATCTATGTGTTTTACAGTATCATTTGGAAACTCTCTTACTACTAGTACTTTGTTTTTCAAAAACAGCATTCTTACCCTCTTCTGCCACTCTCAACAAAGGCTTGTCTTGTTTTGCACGAGTTAGTGGCCTTCGGTCATTCTCTGTAAATAACATATCACATTATATTTAGTCCTAGATGTAGATTATGTAATGCATTTTAAACAGTTTTATTTACTCATGCTAAGCATGGCAATGTACATATACACATTGCCCATCAGAGACATTTTTCATCTTTGTGAGTTTTTCATCCTCTTAAAGGTGCAACAATTAGTGCAAAGGAGCCACTCAACGATCATGGACCAGTGTCAAAATATATTCAAGTTTGGATATTTCATCAGGACTAACATATATTTTCCTTATCTACAAAGAAACCCCCTGGACATGCTGGATGAACATTATTTCAGCTGATATTCCTCTTAAAACATGGTGTATCTTAAAAATATAATAGTGGATTTCCCCTTTTTGAAGCTTAAATGCTGAAATTGATAGTTTATCCATACATTTTAAGAAAATACTTAGGTATGTCAAAGAAGATGTTAAGCCAAATGTTGCATTGATAATTTTGCTATTTTCTCTCTACAGGCCATGTTGCCCCTTTAATTATAAAAACAAGTGCAACAATGGATACAGTTAAAATGACATAACCAAGTAGTACATACTGGTAATTGAATACATCAAGGTGATACATTTATGTCAGCTAAAATACTTATTTTCCCTAAGTGTGATGTCATAAACTTTCAAGGTCATAAGTTGAAGACTTGTCAAATGACTGCTCCTGTGTTAATAAATGGAACCATATTTTGCCAGTGTATTACTACCTTAATTAATAAATACAATTTATAACGCAAACTCACCTGATCTTTCACTACTGGCCTTTCTTTTTTCCCTCTCTTAAAGCATAAAAAGGTATTATTAATTCAAAGGTCAATTAACACAAACTATAGAAAAGTTCTTGTATACATTTGAGTGCTAATGACCATATTTGTGTATGTTATTGTGGAATGCATACAAGGCACATTAATCCAACCATAGCTTTAAATATCACCGATTTTTCTAAGACTGATGTTTGTGAACACTTGACTTAATGGAGAGTCCAACTCATCAAAGCTGGGCTAGCCCTATCTAACTGTGAACATAACTGAAGTTGAGTACACTATATTTTATACCATTACCTGCTAACAAACCAACAGCAAAACAAACAAACAAACAAACAAACATAAAGCTAACAAACAAATGAAGAAAGAAGCAAAACAAACCCAGATATTTTACAAACATATTTGAAGTTTTACTTGGAGCAGTAGTGGACATCATACTGCAGAGGCACAAAAGGTTGAAACCACCATGATCAATCTGGTGATGTGAATCGATTACATCAATATAAGCATTGAATCACAGTGTAACTCTGTGATATAAGTTTAGCAATCATAATAAGTAATTTTAAATTAAGAGCATACATATTTTGAAAAGAATTTGCTATTTATTTCAATAATCATTGTTTCTGACATTCATATTTTGCATTGAAAGTAAATTCCTTTTAGCCAATCTAATTATAAAACATTTTTTGTAATATAGTATACGATATATAATTATTGTAGTGTATGTATTATTCTTACCTTTACTGAAGACGGCATTCCTGAGTTTTCTTAGTTGAAATGCTGTAAGTAAAAAACAAATTTAAGCAAGTAAAACAGCAAAATAAAAAAATAAACAAACGTGTATAATCTATTTATGAAATTATTTCAAAAACACTTCTTCGAATAAGCCAGCTGGTGCTTAAACTGGTAACATCTTACATGTTTTTAATAATTTTAATGAATTATATATTTCTTTCATATTTGGTCAGACATATCAATTTATTATCAGATATATACATAAGGTTTTTAAGCTACCTCTTTCTGCTTTGGCAAACTGGTAGTCTTGTTTGACTTTCTCCCTCTCTTCTGAAAAACAACATAAATTGGATATTAGAAAAATAGTTGCCATTTTCAATTGACAATTGAAATTTAAGTTATCGCCAAGACAGACATCTTGGATTTCCAAGGTATGATGTTTTCATATCATGATTGAAAATCAAACTGGGAAACGAGTATGAAGACAGACGGACAGATAAATAAATGGATTGACAACTTCACTATATCCCTCTTGAATTCTTTGGGATAGTAAATGCTTCATTTGATTTCTTACCAGCTGTTTGAACAGGCTTCTTCTTCATTGGAGGTGGTATAGGCACAACATTTCTCCTGTCTGGGGCCTCTGGAACAAAAAGCAACAGACCTTTCCAATAGAATAAGAGAGAAGCTATCATATATTATTGGTTATAGATGATGATGTCATTGTAGGTTGCAATATCTCTTAAAATAGGACACCTTAGACTCACTTACATGTAGTGCATAAGATTGTGAGTGAACTAGATGTTAAAACAGTCATAAAATCTAAAAAAACATTTAATTACATGCATTTCTTACCTTGTGAATCAGCACCCTTTCTGCTTACTCTGGATGCGCTTCCTGCAAAGTATCATTTGGTTTTTCATGTAACTTCTGTGAAAGTACACTCCTCTCCATTAGTTTGACAACCGGAAATTTCCCTTTAGATCACTTGGCTATCAAATGAGAGCTCCCAGTTGCCAAACTTAGGAAGGGGAGTGTACATTTAGTTGATACTCAAAGATGTAAGTACAAGTAAAGCCACTGTACACCCTTTTGAATGGGAATATATTGAAGAATGTGTTTGTGGTCTAAATAGAATGATCACCACCATGACATTTGTGGAATCATATACATATGTATTGGTTTATTCTTATTCTATATGGTCAAAAATATATGCAACACTGAGAACGAATTATATTTCCTTTGGCGATGACTTATGTGCATTTAAAGATAAACTCAAGAATTTGAATGTATCTACAAAGAATATGCTTATGTTGATTTACCTCGCCGTGCATCTCTTTTCTTTTGAGCGGTTGGTGGATGCGGTTGCACTTCATCGTCACTACTATCACTAGCTGTAAATCCAGAATACCAAGTTAACTGAGATAAAATGCAGAATAACAAGTACATTTATATTGAAACTGTTCTCTTATTCGAACAAAGAGTTCTCTAATTCGAACAAATTACCTCTTTAAACAAGCCATGGGAACAAGCTAAGCATGACTACGAAGTGCAATCATATGAAAATTAGACTTCAAACATAATGAGTCAAGTGAAGTCTATTTGTTGGTCTTACCCAAATGAACATTAGCTAGTGCTACTGCTGCACGCCTTCGAGCAGAGGCTCTCTCCACACCTGAAAAAATACAGAGTTCTTAACGTAGAGGTAATAAAGGATTTCAATTTTTATATTGATACGATTTTGAAATTACAAACATAAACGGGGGTCCTAGAAGGTTCCAGGTTTCTAAAGTCAATACTTAAATTCATGCTCTTTGAAATATCTTGATGTCTTTTACACGTCTCTATTGTTTCACGCTCATTATTAAATTGAAAGAATTGTATTATTAATTACTCTATCTAGTATCAGTCATGCATTTCATTTTGTTAGTTTGTCAACTACAATACTTATCATTGCTTTATTTCAAACGGTAGAAATTAAAAAGAATAGTTCTTTTTTAAATTTATCGATCATGCATGTCTTACCCCTTCTAACGGATTTCCGTTTGGGTGGAGATGGCTCGAGCACAGCCTCGTTTTCACTGTCGCTCTCTGTAGAGAAGAAAGTTTTTTTTAGTAAACATGTTGATAGAAATCAATAATAGGTTAATTCAGAATTAATTTTGTACATTTTATCATGTTAGTTTATCATCTACAGTCTGCATTAAATTCCGTTGAGGTTATAAATTAAAAATTCTTCTTTTAGATTCATCACACCTTAATGACTACTGATCCAGAGATCCAAAAGGTTTGCTTTTTAGGTCACAACGCGGAAAACACTATTTTATAAACACTACTAAGAAAGTTCACTTTAGATATATTCCCCATATTCCCATCGATATGTTGATTTATGCGATGTTTAAATAGGCTCCGCTGATTAAGTAACTAAACGAACCTTGCGTAAATACTTAGATGAACCTTTAGCAAGCATTAGTGACAGAATCATTACAAAATCTGCAAATGCATTTAAAGAATGCAGCGTCTTTTTTAAATACACTGGCTTGTATATATTTTTACAGATTTTTAAACGGACCAAAACTCTCTAAATGCGCATTTATGCTCTTTTCTCTCGAGAACGACTGTCTCATTTCCACGATAACTTTTATTTAGTACTTCTAACATATAAGATCTATTTTTCCCCATCAAGGTATGATGCAAATGACATGCTATTTACATCTTGTGAGTTTCAATGACGCGCGTTTGATTTTATAAAAAATGCCAAACTTTGTGACAAAGAATTTCCTCCTGCTTGCAGCGAGAAGACGGACCGGTTCGGGGCAATCTGCTTGCAGCGAGAAGACGGACCGGTTCGGGGCAATAGCTGATGAAATTCTTTGTCACAAAGTTTGGCATTTTTTATAAAATCAAACGCGCGTCATTGAAACTCACAAGATGTAAATAGCATGTCATTTAAATCATACCTAGATAGGGAAAAATAGATTTTATATGTTAGAAGTACTTAATAAAAGTTATCGTGAAAATGAGACAGTCGTTCTCGAGAGAAAAGAGCATAAATGCGCATTTAGAGTTTTGGTCCGTTTAAAAATCTGCAAAAAATTGGGGTACTTAAAAGCATCGGAAGGCATCATATATTTCAAATTAGACACGAGGAAGTCAATATTGAGCAAGTTATGGCTGTTTTAAATTCAAATAAAACCGTTAACCCGTACCGGTCCAGCTTTTGACCCGTACCGGTCAATTTTCGTTAGCTGCGTATACCAAGGGTGATCAATTTGATTGTAAAATATATAAATGACGATCTTGCATTGAAAGCTGTGTAATTATCCATTCCATGTATCCATGGGCTTTCAATTAAGCGATGCATTTTTTCTATTTCTTACTCCTATTTATTGTGTACAATTAATTGTAATTCTCTTATATAAGTGGTATAGAATACAATACGTTACAATATAAGACATACAATACAATATAGTTATTAGCCTTACAAATGTTCTCGGCTGTTTAGTAACAAATTTTGTCACATTTCTGAGAGGAAAACATTGAGAGATATTTCTGCAAAAAATAGTTTGGAATAATTTTTTTTATAAATGGCCATTTTTATGCATCGTCTTTTGACAAAGGAACGAAAGGAGAGGGGAATGAGTGCAGAGAGGGGAAAGTTTAACAGTCTTCCCAAAAGAGGAAATCTGTCAGTAAAGGAAAAGAAAGATACTTTTGGAATAAATGTGTTCTGGTTCAATATGTATTCTCCATTAACGAAATATGGTAGTTTGTATTTCCATTTTCTACTGGACATATTTATTAGCCCTAAAATGATATCAGCTGTAAAAGTATAGTACATATTCATTCATATTTCTGAGACAAACAACATCAGTAGATAATTTGGAAAAAAAAATTGGAATAAGCATGGACTTTCAACCAGAATTAATAATTGAAGCCCATGGATTAAGCTAACAATTATTTTTTATTATTGACCATTTTATGCATCGTCTTTTTTAGGCAAAACGTTAGCAAAACATGAAGTTTAAAGTTGTCCATGGATGTTTCTTGACTGGGACCGATTTTCTTACAATCGGGATATTCTATGGTGGCAAGTTCTAGTTGAACTAGTTTTTATTATTCCTTCCATGGCCATAACATTCACATTGGTATTTCTCAGACGCACGCGGTACCAACTTCGACCGTTAATTTGAATTTTTGACCTACCAGATGTTTAAAAAATCAAGGATTACGAGTCTCATACTGCACCGTTTTTTTTCTGTCGGTGCATTGCTTTATTGTAAAGAGTCCCTCGTTTTAGCAGCGTTTTGGCCCCCAGCTATGAGAAGCCCTTCTCACAGCTGGGAACCCAAATGCCGCTGAAAGTAGGGAGTCTGTATAACAGAATAATGTTCCAAAAGAAAGATTAGCTATTTATTTGCGTCACATGACTTCCCGCAACATTCGTGACCGCCAAACCGACGTTCCACCAGATCACTCCAAGCGACAGTGTGATAATGATGAATTTAGCGCTTATTTTAACTCACATGACCCGGCATTTTATAAACTCATAAGTATGCTACCATAATCACGCACTATTCCGAAGTAAACGTGTACTTACCTACAGTCCAAGGCATTTTCTTGAGCTTTGATTATTTCCAGCTTTGTGAAAATATTTATTTTGTTTGGTTGTGATGGAAATCTATTTAATGATATTGAACTGTGACGTCATGCTCAAGAGAGTATAAAAATCAAATTGCAACGTGGAAATATTAGCCGAAATTAAACGTCTGTCTTCAAGGGGACGAGGCAGTGGTTAAAAGTTAAAAGTACCATGGGTGACTGGGGTCTACCAGAGATAACTCTCGTTCCGAATGTCCACTCGGTCGACTATTTAATTCATAACTGATCTATAAAGAAAACTTTCGTTTCTAGAAAGAAAACCTTTAATTCCATTCAGGAGAAAGAAATTATTGGGGAGGAAAAATCGGCGTGATGTAAAAAATGATTTTGGAAGCCATGTTTGCATGAAATGAAAAAATATATTATGGGATTTTTAGGCCTTGTAAAGTTCCATAACTGATCTAGAGGAAGGCGATATGACAAATATGACATGACAAAAGGCATTAACATGCAGAATGTCACCACCTGCAATCTGTTACAGATGCCGACCATCGAACACCAACCGCCGAACACCGTCAACAAAAAGCGTGCTTGTGACTTAAAAATTTATTAACTACCCCTCTTTTCTGTTTAGGATGGAACATAAACAATTGATAAAATTGGAAAAGGTAAGTCATGGTAAAAACGATGATAAATAAGAGAGAGCAGAGAGGAGAGAGAGAGCATGGGATAAATAGAGATTCAAGAGAGAGATTCAAGAAGTATAGGCTTATATTTGAAAACTCTGAAAATGGCTTGGGAATCATTCAACTTCTCATTTTTAAAAACAGTGGTAAGCTTATATAAAATTGATATGGCTACACCCTAAACACTCGGTTTAGCATCACATTGCCTCATAAAAACAATTAAATCAACCCGCAATTCACACGACTAACCTATTTCAAAGGCTGGATTGATCTGATAATATCGAGTTCAGGCTTAAACAGTCGAAATGTTGAGACATGCGCAGACCTCTATTTAGCGATATTTTCATTTCAAATATGGCGGCCAATCCGATGTCTGACGACCCTTACAAAGAATCTAGGCAGTGTGCATTTTTACTTCCTGTGAAATAACAAGTGGCATTTAGTAGTTGTTTTGTGTTTTATTATCATTCTGCATCGTAATTCTATGTGATGTGGTGTTGAAATGTCAGCAGAAATACATATCCATACGATAATCGAGTGAATCAGATAACAGATTTTTCGAAAACCCGTCTCGTGCTAAGCGTGTAAAAACTTGTATTAACATGCTCAAAAGTGTTAATGTGCACATCAATGTCAAGCTAAATCAATGTTGTGTCGAAAACAGGTACCCGATCTACTCAAAACAGCTTGTCATTCACGTATACACACTTCGCAAACACGGCGAAATGATCTGAATCTTGGAATTTCGTTGGAGAGCTAGTAATGTTTGCTCCGGTCTTCGTCATAAGTGTTTATCAGACTTCACGCATGCTCAGGAGAAAAACCATCAACCAATAACGTTTATAAATCAATTTTGCGCATGCGCCTTACAACGGTAAAGAAATTCGTATTTATTAACGAACCAATTTGAGATAACCCGGTATCAGTCGGAGAAATCTGACGATCTACGAAACTCACTTCAAAAAATCAAATGCGGACTGACGGCGTATTCTACTATGTTCGGATCTAAGATTTTCAGTATAGATAAAGTCTTTTATGATCTTTCGAATGAGGTAAGTCTCTAGTTCGAAAGACAATCGTATCAACTTGAACAAAAGTTGAGTTTTGACGAAAAATTTTAACATGCGCAGAAGTCCCATTTTCGTTATACCATATTGACTGTAAAATAGTCAAAGTTCGAGCTTGTTTTTCCGCTGACCTCATAATTTTCTAGTGATGTCACATGTATGGTACGATAACCCCGCAAAACTAGTATACCCCGTAAACTAATAAACTAGTACTTACCAATAACCCAAGGCATTTTCGTCAGTACTGGATATTCGCAGATTTGTGAAAATATCCCGTGGAAAATATTTATTTGGTTTGGTTGTGATGGAGATCTATTTCAAAGATATTGAATTATGACGTCATGTTCAAGCCATGCGAAACCAAGGTTAGTGTAAAAGTCAAATCGCACTATGGAAATATTTTGGCGAAATGAAACCTTTATCAAAGAGAGAACAATTAGGGGGAAAATCATATGCAATATGTTTTTGGAATTCTTTTGTTAACGCTAGTGTCAGTTTTCCATTAAACTCCCAAGCACGATACGATAGTCCCGCACAATTTCGAAGTAAAATTGTACTTACCAACCCAATGCATTTTCTCCAGCTCTGGATATTCGCAGCTTTAATTGTGGAAATAAAGGTAGGGTGAGCCCGTTCCATGTTCATTTACAATTTCTTAAAGTCGACATACCGGCCGCTCCACCGCGCTGAATTAATGTTAAAGAGTAGGAACCCAGTACAAGCAACTTTTATGCATAGCTTAATTATAACCCTGATTGGTGTGATGGTCTCGGGCACTTACAATGTTTTGTTCCCCATTTTCAAACAAGCTTAACAAAATGAGTATTTTTGTGAGAAAAAATGGTCATAGGTCGCAGTTAGTTAAATGAGTTAGTTAAAAGTTAAATTAACAATTGAAATTGATATTTTCCCCTTAAATGCCAAATGTGTATAATTCTTAAAAAACAGTATTGTAAAATGTAAATGTTTATACAACTGTATTGTAATTGCAATTGCTTTAACATATTTCTATTCTGAAAAAAATAAATGGAAAAATGATTTGAAATGAAATATTTTCAAGATACAGCCATCTTTATCCCATGACAGAATCATATATGTCATCCTAAAGGTCACATATGAAAGAAGACACGGGACCCCAGAGACAGGATTTTTCTCCAGGAGGACACATTTGGGCTATCGTGCTAGGTCTTCAGATGTGTCTGGACTCTTGAGAACTTAAAAAAGTCCGGTGAAAAGTACGCTCGAATATCTCACAGATCGCTTTTTATCTATCATACCATACTTGATTTCAATGTGCCTAGAACATAATGATAGGGGTATACCAAAAAGTCATCAACTTTAGAGATCATATTTCAGGAACTTTCAATTTTTTAGCATGCCTATATGGCTATATAGCTACGCACTTCCCTACATGTACATAAGTTAGGCAACTCTAACGACCCCCCCCCAAAAAAAAAAATTAAAGTACATGTTAAAGCCTCATTATGTTTGAATTTTCATATGAATAATCTGTATAGAAAACCTACTTTTAGGGCTAGAAATATTGACATCATTTCCACTACCTTCAATTTTTCTCAATGTTTTATCATTTTTATGTTTCTTCAGATTCCCAAAAAATTACGTCTACAAAGTCAAAATCATTTTTCAAAAACCTATCCCATCGAAATAACACAGGAGGCGAAAATGATTCTCAAAAAAATGATTTAAAAGCCCAGTAAGTTCGATGTCCACAAAGTAAACTATAAACACTTGACCTAGTACACAAAGCTAGACAATTAAATTTTCTGTATAAAAATACTTATTGGGAATTTTTTACCATCTGAATAAAAATCCTGAAATCTGATTTGCCTCAAACTCATCGTTTCCATTAGTTTACATGGGAATGACGATTTTTTCAAAAATTCAATAAATTTGTCAAAAATTGGGAAATAAAGTCGAGTTACATAACCCACATTCATTTCAGATTATATGTAACTTAAGAAGGAGCTGTAACATGTAGTCCAATGGGGGAGCTAAGGTTGCCAAAAATTAACTCTTACTAAAATGTAATTTCGCAATTTCACTTATTTTGACGCTGCATCTTGCTTTTGTCAAGATTATGAATTAATGAGTTCAGACTGATGCTATCATCAAAAATCGTTTGAAATGGGGTAAGTACTAAGCTATCTGAAATTACTCTTCATCCACGTTTTGCATTGTTTTGATTTTTTTTATATATTATACCATTTCAAGAAAGTTTGGTAGTCAACACTTGCCTGTTGACTCAACAGGCAATATTTGCACCATATGATAATAAATCAAATCTTAATTAGTTCATATACTAGTCAAACACACAACTAGGGGGCACGGTTGGGCCACCATAGACTTAACATTGAGTGGGACCTCGTAGGACTTTGTGGGACTTCATAGGGCTTTGCCCCATGGGATCCTGCTGGACTTTGCCCCATGAAGCCCCCCCCCCAGATGGGGCATGAAAAGAGAAATGTCCCACGAAGCCCCATTAAGAATGAACGTATTCATTTTTTCCATAGGACATCATAGGACTTTTGATCATGTACAGTAACGTGTCAGGTGAATTGGAATCAAAATGGCGGTGGCAAAATCAAATCATAATTACATCATTTCCGTGGGACTCAATAGAGCATGTTAGGAATTGATGGGACTCCATAGGGCAAACGAGCTCCCATGGGGCATTGTGCGACTCGATGGACTCCATAGGGCAAACGAGCTCCCATGGGGCATTGTGCGACTCGATTGACTACTTTGGGACTCAATTGGAACTTGATGGGGCACGTGGGATTTTGTCTCACTGGTGTATTTTGAGCTTAGGTGTATGTTACCTCCTATTTGTTCTTGTCTTTGCCTAGGGAAGCTAGATTTTGGCCTTGATTGTGAGCGAGCTGGCGGTTGTGGTGCGTGCGTTGTTCTCAACGGATTGGATGCGTAATTTCCATCTATTGCTGAAAAGAACAAACCTGGTTAATACAATTTTGAATACACATGTACTTCTTGATACAAATTCAACTGCCGGCTGTTGGATTAACTCACTATTTTATAGCAGGTGCTATTCATATGTAAATGAGTTGGGCATGAAACAGTGTGTTAACTCATCCGGTTGAATTCTTGGATCTTAGCAAAGTTTCGAAAAATGCCAAGTCTTGCCTTCCACATTCCATGGCATGCCTTTTTTTAATCGATCCAGCAATCTGATTTTATTTCAAGATAATCGTTAAATAGATTTTTAATAAGGGAAATATGCAATAAGAGGACTTCCGTTTTTTCTTTTCTAAAGAATGTCAATGTTTTGAGGGGAACCATAGGAAAGAATTTTGAAAAGAGAATTTACTCATTATTCAAAACAACATTCAGACAATGCAACGATATTTTTACTTACCTCTTTGCAGTTGATCTTCTTCACCAATGTTCACGGTTGCCTCTAACTCTAGCTGCTCTAGCCGTTGTGCTGTTAAGACAAGGGTAAGATATTAATATAGAGCTGTACTAAAACAATCACAGTAGAAACTTTTTTTTGTGGAACACCTCTGTAAATGGAACACCTCACAAGTTGAACAGGGCAAAGTTAACAAGGTCCAATGGGACACAATGGGGCTCAATGGGACTAGATGGGGCAAGTGAGATTTCGGCCAACTGGCTTATTTTGGGCTTAGTTATGTTATTACCTTGTACTACTTGTCTTTGCTTAGGGAAGCTAGTTTTTGGGCGTGATTGTGAACGAGCTGGCGGTTGTGGTGCGCGCGTTGTTCTCAGCAGATTAGATTGATGATATCCGTCTGTTGCTAAAAAGAACTAACCTGGTTAATCCAATTCTGAATATACATGTACTTCTTGATACAAATTCAACTGCCGGCTGAATGATTAACTCACTATTTTATAGCAGGTACTATTCATATGTAAATGAGTTGGGCATGAACAGTGTGTTAACTCATCCGGCGGTTGATCTTGGATCTTAGCATAGTTCATCATTCCATGGCATGCCTTTTTTAATCGATCCAGCAATCTGATCTAATTTCAAGATAATCGTTAAACGGATTTTTTAATAAGGGAAATATGCAATAAGAGGACTTCCGTTTTTCAGTTCTAACGAATGTCATGTTTTTATTGGGAACCACGGGGAAGAATTTTGAAAAGAGAATTTACTCATTATTCAAAACAACATTCAGACAATGCAACGATATTTTTACTTACCTCTTTGCAGTTGATCTTCTTCACCAATGTTCACTGTTGCCTCTAACTCTAGCTTCTCTAGCTGTTGTGCTGTTATGACAAGGGTAAGAAATTAATATATTGCTGTACTAAAACAATCACAGTAGAAACTTTTTTTGTGGAACACCTCTGTAAGTGGAACACCTCACAAGTTGAACAGGGTAAACTTAACAAGGTCCAATGGGACACAATGGGGCTCAATGGGACTAGATGGGGCAAATGAGATTTCGGCCAATTGGCTTATTTTGGGCTTAGATATGTTATTACCTTGTACTACTTGTCTTTGCTTAGGGAAGCTAGTTTTTGGGCGTGATTGTGAGCGAGCTGGCGGTTGTGGTGCGTGCGTTGTTCTCAACGGATTGGATGGATGATATCCGTCTATTGCTGAAAAGAACAAACCTGTTTAATCCAATTTTGAATACGCATATACAAGCATTTACTTTTGATCCCAATCTCGAATTCAATTACCGGCTGTCCGCTGATGGATTAACTCGCTATTTTATGGCCAATTCATTTAAATATTCATATCTAAATGAGCTGGCGATGAAATGGGTTAATCCGTCGGCCGACAGGTGGTAATTGAATTCGCGAATGCTAGCTAAGTTTTGAAAAATATAAGTTTACAGCATGTTTTTTCACCGCATGCCTTTTCTTTATTGTAGACGATTGGTCCAGCAGTTCTGATTTTATTTCAAGATAATCCTTTTGATAAGGTTAATTAGGGGTAATATAATAACTTAGGACCCTTCCGTTTTTCAGTTCTAACGAATGTCGATGTTTCTAGAGGAAACATGGGAAATAATTTTGAAAAGAGAATTTACTCATTATTCAAAAATACAAAACAACATTCCGACAATGCAACAATATTTTTCTTACCTCTTTGCGGTAGATCTTCTTCACGAATGTTCACGGTTGCCTCTAACTCTAGCTGCTCTAGCTCCTGGGCTGTGAAGACAAACGTAAGAAATCCATGCAATGATATACTATAACAATTACAGTAGAAACTGGAACACCTCACAAGTGGAACATGTTTTTAACCCCTGCAGCCCATTGAATTCATGTTATTGAACCTCTGAAAGTGGAATACGTCGCAAGTGGAACATTTTATTGTGGTCCCAAGTATTAGAGTCAATTGTGTTAATAAAGGCGTTTTTGCTTTCATTATCTTACCTCTGCGCATATATGCAGCGAGAGACTCATCTGCCCTCTCAGTCTCATCGTCGCTACATGAGCTGTCTATAAAGAAAAACAATATTGCAAAATTGTTTTATTCCAGTATACAGAGTGTCTCAAAAAATGTACCCAAACGTATATCAATAGCACAGATAAACCGATCAATATTTTCAGACATTTTTTGCATGGTCATGTAGCCAAAACATGAAAGATTTCTCCCCAATACACCATTTCTATTTCAGTCTTGCCTTTTTGATGCTTTAACCCTTAACCTTTTACACCACATATTCAATGTAACCTCATATTTTGATGACAGCCTGTATCCTTACTGCTAATTGTTCATCATATTTGATTATAATTCCAATGGAATGTTTTGGATTTCTCTTTGGATGTTGCCATTAAGTTGTTTTAGGTCTTTTTGCTTGGAATGAGCATTACATAGAACACTCCTTCAAATAGCCACAGAGAAAGATGTTTGAGGATGACGATGGCAGCACAAACACAGAAAATCAGGTCAATTATCGGCAAATGATTCAGGAGTTACCTTCCAGAGTTACGCAGGCTAGTCTGGAGACTAAATGATATCCAAATAAAAACACATTGGTCTCAAATTGATTAAGTCCCTCTACACACATCAAAGTCTTCACTAGAATCCCAACCAATGCAGTTTCTTGAACGTCTGACCTCTCTGTATAAGGGGGCTATTAGACATTGTGAGGGCCTCCCTATTCACCAGATTTGACGGCCTATACTTTTTTTCTCTAGGGCTTTTTTATGCTAAACCCTAGCTAAGAGACTATTTTAACAACTTAAAACCAGCATCCGAACAGAAATCAAATGTGATGAACAATGTAGTAGAAAGGATGCAGACTGTCATCGAAATTTGAGTTTACATTGATTATGTGGCGTAAAAGGTAAAGGGTTAAAGTATCAAAAAGGCAAAGCTGAATTAAAAACTGTGTATAGGGGAAAAAACGTACATGTTTTGACTACAAGACCATGCAAAAAATGTCTGAAAATATTGATTGGTGTGTCTATGCTGTTGAAATACTTTTGGGTACATTTTTTGAGACACCCTATACACTCCCCTCCTTAACTGTGGCATCTCTGGCTTCGAATTTGATAAACTTATAAAATCTGTTTAAGTTTGAGAATTAAGTTCTCCTCAGTTGCATTTTTTTGCATTTTGACAGTTACTTTAAAGTAATCAAATCCTGATCCTTGTATTTACCTAGAATTGCACTATGAGAAATCACATGTCGATAATCATGATATTGGCAATGAACTCAAGCACTGTTTTTTGTAAATATCTTCCTTTGAAGTTATAATTTTGGTATATTAAAATGATGTAATTTTATATGTTTGCTCTTCCTTGTGGAGGAATAAAAGATACAATACAATACAATACAATACAATACAATACAATACAATACCCTTTGCATTCGTTTGACTTCACTTCTTAAAAGAGAGCTTCGTCTTTAACTAATATAACTATAGACTCTGCACGCAGGGTAATAAAAGTAGCAAGGTTTCAGTAACCTGGACACATTGCACACTTTACCAGAAATACATCTTTGAATAAAAATTATTGAAAACATAAAAATTCTTCCTAATTGACCTGATTTGAATAATTGTGGCATACTTTTTCAAAATCAAACGTCTCTTATTTTTAAATATCCAGTTAGATACAGTATTGGGATTTTGTAATATACTTAGCACCCATAAGTTCTATTAGCAACAAACAAAAAGATAAAACAACGAAAACAGAAATGCTATTTTACTTTACCTCTGCTGGTGGATATTTGCAGGGCTGCTTGGGTTCTTGGTTGCAACCCGATGGTCTTCGCTGTAAAGACATAAATTGCGATTCATTGTTGATTTTTGTTGTTAAAAATAAACATATTGCAATGTATTTTCAATGACTACTCTGATATTTGCACTGATATGCAGTAGAGTGCCGACCCTGTAAATTAGTGTCGGACAATTATATAGTAAATAAATAAAACTAAAAAATAAAATAAAGGGGAATTTTGACATGTTTTTTACCAAGGATTGCTTTACGAGTTTTAGCAGTCTCTCGTCTTATGCCATGCTATTATTATTCTGACAGAAAGAGTGAGTTTTGCTATTTTTTGAAAATAATGTCCACATTCACATTTCCAAGCAAAACAGAGAGATAGGAATTTTTGAGTCAAATAAAAGTTAATCGCAAATCAACCAGGTATTTTTTTAGATACATTATGGTGAACTTCCTTGAATTTACTCAGCTGGAAATTAAACATACATTGTTATTGGCGCCTAATATTGCATTTACTGAGTTTGAATTAATTTGTGTATTGAAAGCATGTTTTGATTTCAGTATCTCACCTCCACGAAGGAATCTATGAACCGGTCTGGACCTCTCCTCCATCGGCCTCTCATCGTCGCTTTCAGAACTATCTATAAAGAAAAACAAAAATCATTTTAATCTCAGTATACACTCCACTCCATAATAAATTTTGACTTCCATTTTCATAACTCGATGCATATTTATGTTTTAAATTGGATCTGTTGTAATTGCGATAAGAATTTATTAAGGATTTTAGTAAGGACTATTTTTGATAAAATACGCTTAATTCCCCCTTTCTAGTTTTGACCTCTTTAATTCATCTAAAGCAAACTTTTGTTGCTTTTGAATATATAAATAAAGATAGTGATTTTTGCTATGTGACTGACATTCAACATACGTATACGGTGATTTTTATATTATATTGTATAATTAACTTTTATAATTCAAGTTATGTATATTTCTCCTTTTAGAATGAATTCAATTTTTAAGGTTTTCTGTTGATAATTTTCAAAATAGTCAAATCAATTATTTTTCAAAGTTCCATCCTATTTAATCCTCAATCACTGATATGTTTTTTATTTATTTTTTATTTTCTTATTCCAACTTATTTCACACATACATAATATAATATTTCAACATATATTTCTCATTGGGAAATTGGGATGCAAATTGGGATGCTCACCATATTTAAATTTGGAGATGCACAATTTCGCTATTTGAATGACTAAGTTACAATAATTTTCTTAACTGATATATTCAAGAAACTTCTTTCAACATCTCTCTACATATTGCTGATTTTCGCTGTAAAAACTTAGATAGCAGTGCATGTACAAATGTACTGAAAATTGAAAATGAAAAATGTCAAATCTGAACTTTTCATAAGTGACCCCCTGACATAGACCTCGGTTTTGCGTGCTTTTGACCTCATTTGACATATTTTCCTTAATTTACGGGAAAACAACATATAGGGCTTAGTTGATGATTTCCGGGACTCTAATTACTCCGTGACTTTATAACTTTAAAAGTTACACATTGTGCATGCATTTTGAACTCAACATTTTGTGAGTTCAATTAATTCTTACCCTTTAATTTGCATTCGTTCGACTTCATTTCTCAAAAGCTTCGTCTTCGGTAGACTCTGCGCGCAGGGTAATTAATTCTAAGCAGGGCATTATTTTGAAGCGCGATTGTTCGAAAACTAGTGGGATAGGAAATATAGGCCGGGATGTAGCATTGTAGGATGCATGGATAGAAACTTGGATATGTTTATGCCAACATATGTGTAGATTATTTATCTCATACTTGAGTGGGTTTGGGGTACATATCACCCGGGAATATATATCATATCTGAGGAACGGGCAGGATATATTGTATATGTCCCTCTCTAGACCAAATGCGGGCAGATATAATTTATCCATCCCGCTCCCGGGAATTTTTCAAAAGTTTAAAAAAAATTTAAAATTTTAAAAGTTTAAAATTTGTTAAAAAGTTACAATTTCATTGTACTGAACTGAAGGAATATTATCACGAAAATGTTAAATATAAATTGTGCTTTTACAGCATAGGCCTGTCTTGTCATTTGAAAAGGTGGAACTCCAAACCCACTCAAGTATTAGAGATACACCAATTATGTACGATCGGTTTTGGATATACGGTATATCCCTCGGGAAATATTTAGATCTCCCATTGGTCCTTTGGTCCCTCGGGGAGATATAAATAAATCCCTCAGGATATACCCCATATCCAAAACCTCCCAGTACATAACCCTTATATATGTATATTTCTATATATGTTTATGCCTAGATACCGGCATGTGTATAGGTCTAGATAGGTATAGACCTAGATATGTATAGGCCTATATAGGTATAGGCCTAGATACATATAGGCCTATTTGGTATAGACCTAGATATATATAGGCCTATATAGGTATAGGCCTAGATATATATAGCCCTATTTGGTATAGACCTAGATATATATAGGCCTATTCATCTACAGGTCAAATTAAGTATAGGTTTCGATATATATAAGCAAACATAAATAAAGAGAAAGATATGGGGCCCATGCATTTATATTGTATCGACCTAGATGTATAGACCATTATATATTATAATTCCTAAATATTTGTATGTAGCACGAAGGAAGCAAATATCTACTGACTGTTTTTCCTGCTCTGAATGAATAATATGTATGAAAAAACGTTTGCCCCACACCTTTTTCCAATTTCTAGCTGTTTCGGGCCCGTCTCGAGGCTTTAAAATATTTTACAAAATATATGACAAACACGCAACTTTAAATAAACCCTAACATAACTCACCAGTGATACCAAGTCCAAAAATAGACATGTCTCTATCCATTTTTACTTTGGGCGATCAATCACACAATATTTAATATAGTTGCGATAGTGATGAGCACGTCATTTTCAGAGAAGTTAAAGTTTGACGTCATAACAAAGTCATATGAATGTGGTGAGTATAAGAGTCAAATCACAATATGGAAATATTCTGACGAAAAGAAACATTTAAAAGCATAGTCGCAGGTAAATGCCTCCACCCGTCTTAATCTAGTACCCTTTATATTAACCATTCGTTAAGAGATGAAGGGTGATCATTGTACTATTACGTTATAAGTAGTTGTCAACTGCGTAATATTTGTAAGAAAATATAAACTGTACATTCAAAAGTAATGTAGTAAGCACTTACCCAATCTGTTTAATTTTTCACGGATACAGTATTAGATCATTCAATTATCTACTAGATGTAAAGTTCTTATTTAACTGCATTTAATGTTGTTTCAGCTCTGCATAACCACGGTAACTTGGGTAAGCATCTAGGCGGAATCGACTTTTGAATGATAATTTAATATTTTTTCATTTCTGTTTGATTCATTACTTATTGGGTCTATGAAATGCTAATGTAAGTGCCAAGGAAGACTCACGTTTCCATGTATATGCTGGTGAGTTCTAAATTCAGCAGCTGATTGTGCTGTACCATCGCAATGATTTTTTAGAATAGTGAGCCAGAGAGTCAGATTCTAAGATTCACATACTAATACATCCAAGAAATGTGCCTTTTGCAATCAATTTAAACAAATAATTGTCATCCTTCTTCTTATTGGTAGCAATTGAAGGCACAAGGCAGGCTAGCTGTTGTCAGGAGAGGTCATCTCAACCCCAAGTCATCTCAACCCAGTCCAACTCAACCCCAAGTCAAGTCAACCCCAGTAAAACTCAACCCCAAGTCAACTCAACCCTGTAAAACTCAACCCCAGTAAAACTCAACCCTATTCATTTGTCCATTTGTGCAATGTCTAATTTAATTTTTTATGATGAATAATTTAAGTCATTCATTTCTGAAAATCTAGCATTTTGCATGATACTTTGAATAGAAAGTTGTAAAAGTATTCCAAAAAACGGTTAAGCTCAAGGATAATTCATCAAGTTGTCACTATTATTTAATTTAAGACATCTTTTGAAATCAAATTTTAGATAATTTAGAAATAATTAACAATGTAATATAACGTTTTATTTATATGAACATGCATTAACAAAATCATTAACATTTACTAATTAATAGACTGAAAGCATATAGGCGTAGCCAGGAGGGGTGGGCACACCCCCCCCCCACAATTTTGAAGGAAGTTGCATCATTTTTTGTCAAAACATATCTTTTTTTGGCTCGCTTATGCAACGATCGGCACTCCCTGACTGAAAACCTGATTTTATGGGCGATCGCATCCCTTCTGACTGAAAGCTGGCCATGCCGGTAGAAAGCAATGGTCATGTTCCACTTTTCCAAATAATCACGAGTGTCAACCTCATAGGGATTACAACAAAACAAATACAAGACACATATGGAGACAAGCCAAGCCATTGGGAGATGTTAGTAGCGGTGATAAAAGGGTACTGGATCTTCAGCGATCTAGAAGACCAAGGACTGACCACCCTGATAACAATATTCATCTTGTAGAGGCCATCTTAAATGCAGTCAGGAAAATAAGTGGCATTGTAGATAATTAAAATATTAAATGAAATATAAGTGGATGATCAGGAATGATGTGGATTATGGTTGAACTTATTTTGCTATCATCTTCAGATAGTATAGTTTGCTTGCATAGTTGTTTATTCATCAATAAATATCAATGTTCAGTGTACGAGCAACCGACACACACTATTAGAAAAAATGTTTGGTAAGAGTAAGCATGCCTGTAAAATTTTGTCCATTGCTTTTGAATCACACCTCGTAGTTCCCATTTGAAACTGTTCCCCCATCGTGGACAAAAAAATTGAAACATTGATAATTTTGAAAAAAAAATACATCAAGGTCTCATTAACACGATAATTAAAGGGTTGCATTGAAAACATATGAAAATACTATCATCTCTATATATCGTGCCATTAAAAAGTTAGAAGAAATGGTACAGACTACAGAGTACAATACTATGGCCCCGTTTCCAATAGCTTTTACTCCTGCTGGCGTTAGTGGACTTCAAACAGAAGCGAAGAAGTGATCTACAGTACAATATGTGGTTTATCTTATAGCTTCGAATGTATATGATTAGACGAGTAGGAAAATCCTCCAAAGCCTTCAAATAAGGGAGTTTAATATTTTACTGACCCCCAGCGAAATTTTGGTACCATCGGAAAGCTCTGATATCATGCATTGCTCACTCGGCAGCACGCCAATAAATTGACAAAAAGCTTGGACCGTCGTACGATTTTTGCAAGAAAATTCATTAAATTGAATTTGCACCTCAGTTTTTAATGAGAATATGGGTAAAATACAAATAAATCGTGAAATGAATAAGCCCAGGGTGTGATTACATGTGTTAAATGATACTAAATATTTAATTTTCTTGCAAAAATCGTGACCAACCAACCTTTCTGGGAAAATGTCAAAATAATGTTTCGAGACTTCATGAGTCTATTTGGTCTAAAAATGCAACGGCAACAGTTGAAAGGCAACTGAAACCTTTCATGGATGAATAAGTTATACAAAATGTTGAAAAGTTCCGGACTTAACATCTGTCGAACTATATATTAAGCTTTATAATACGATAATACTTACCAGACATTTTCTTGTCTTTATTCGGATTTCGAATGTTGTCGGATCCTATGATTGTGGAATGACGTTGCTTTAGTGATAACTTTTAGATTCTAAGAAATGAAGTTATGACGTCATCCAAGCCATGCGAAACCATGGTAAACCGTATAAAAGTCAAACTGCAAACGGAATTGCTGTTGGGCGAAATACAAAAGTTGGACCAAAATCCTAGCAGTCTACACCTCCATTTTCAATCATGGGCGTGCTACATGCCTATTCACAGATTCTATACCAACATAAACCATGGACTGTTGAAGTCAATACATAGACCAATCAATTCAAAAACATTGTATTCTAGGAATGTCCGGTAAAAATGTATTTTGGCTTTGGGTCCTTCTATTTTATATGGACTTAAAATCGGTCCTTTAGACGAGATTATGTTTAAACTAGTTGGGAAATGTTACCTTCGTGAAATTGATTCATCTATTTATTTTATGTCTCTGATATTTTCAGTGTTGAAATTTGTATGGACCCTAGAAGTCATTTGCTTTTTGTCTAAAATACGTATATATGATTAAACACTCGCGCGGTAAAAGATTATATATAGGCAACCCAATAACTCGTTTCATATTTTAATAATTCCTATGTTTATGTGCCGTTGAACAAAAAAGAACAAATATTGTTAAGCAATTTTTAATAGAACAACGGAAATTAAATAAACTACATCATACATTTTATAAAACATATACGAACGATACGCGCATGATGTCGAAATACATAAATAAATAGAATTAGCCGATCAGCGCCAAAGTGCATAGTATTGTGCATATTTATGGTGGTGTCTGGATGCCACGTTCGGATTCTAAACGATCCACAATTGCAAATACTCATAGAATCAGAGAAATCTTCACAGTTGAGCATGGATCTTGTTTTACAAAGATTTAGGGGTGAGTTGAATTATTTTCTCGGCAAGTCAGAGAAGTTCAATTTATTCAAAAACTTAAACGGCCAAGGAATTAAAAAACTGAGAGAAGTTAGTGAGATAAGAGAAGTCAGTTCGTGAAATTTTCGAATTCCAAAAGCACTGAACACGCTAGGCTTATCGTAACCATGGGGTTGATAGTTGGAGACGCGTGGGCTCCTTGCGTTTATTCATTTATAAGGTGGGCGTCTTAAGAAAATGTTGAATTATTTCAATAGATCTTCAAAAGAAACGTTTCAACTAGATTCGGTTTTCTTCGATCAAAGTACAAACTTGACCATAATAATGACCTTGTTTCTGTTTTATATTTATATTTCTTTTTTTCTGGCCATGCGACTGAGTGTGGAATCGATATCCATTTTCTTCCACGGGGTCCCAACTACGACCGTTAATTTGAATTTTAGACCTACTAGGTATTTGAAAATCAACGATTGTGAGTCTCATACTGCACCATTTTTCTTTAAACTTGTTCCATTAAAAGCAAAAACAAAAATGTCTTTCTGTTGGTACATCACACTGTTATACAGAGTCCCTCCTTTAAGCGGCGTTTGGGTCCCCAGCTTTGAGAAGCGCTTCTCAGAGCTGGGGACTCAAACGCCGCTAAAATGAGATACTCTGTACAATAAAGCAATGCAGCGACAGAAAAGCATTTTTGTTTTGCTCTAATGGAGCAAGTTTGAAGAAAATCGGTGCAGCATGAGACTCACAATCTTTGATTTGTGTGCGTATTTTGAGCATCGTGAGGCATTCTAATGTTACAAAATTTGAACTTCATTGTATGTATGTACTTTACAAAATATCTGGCCAATGTAACTCACTATTATACATTTTTATAAAAATGATTCGAACATGACTGTATTCACGCCTTCTATAAACTGTGTATACCCCGTGTAGTAACGTCTTGTTTGAATGTATGTTTTTGTATACATTTGCTTGAATGTGAAACACTTTACCGGATGTTAACAATAACATATTTTATTTTTAATAACATTGATAAGATGTCTATATTAGTAGACACTTAACATTCATTACATGTTATTTAACTGATTACATATTATCGATGCTGTATCAAATAATTATCAAAAACACTGCATGATATCAAATATCGTTAAGTCGGTTCTATTATATATCATTTGAAACATACTGGGTCTATTAACATGCAAAACGTTACCACTTGCCATTTGTTTCATTTGTAGTAATAGTATAATGTATATCTAATGAAGCGTTTGATTACGTCATCATTTATTGGGCAGCTCTATACGTCCATAAGTGTGATATTCTTACGTAAAGACATTGCGTCATCATTTATTGCGCAGCCCTATGCGTACATAAGTTTGATATACTTATACATCGTCGTCTATACGTAAGAATATCACACGTATAGAGCTGCTCAGAAAATGATGACGTAATCAAACGCTTCATAAAATATAATAAAGAATAATAAACAGGCTATAAGTGAGTTGCGAAATCTCTTAAATGTCTTGTGGTAACATAAAAAATGCAATTACAAAAAAGTGTGGAATTTGAATGATGTTTTGAGCACATTACAAAAAATGTATTGTCCAAAGCCGATCACTCATCAAATGCAAGTTCCTACATAGTGTTATGGGGCTTTTGTTTCAGTCTGTACATTTTTAACAACTTATATATAATTATATAGCGAGTGTCAAATTTTTGCTCTCATTTTGTAGGCGTGCCTTTATCTATATGGTTGCTAACAGCGATACTTTTGACATTAGTGCCGACAATCGAAAGCATATCCGAAGATGACAAAACGCAGGTTGAAAAGGGTTTGCAAAGCGGAAAAGAAATTCTTGGGTTAATAAACGAAAAGAAATTTCACGAAACTTTAATCAAAGTAGCTACATCATTGGGCCCATTTTTGGGTGCACTCGAACCGTTTCTCAGTCTGATGCTAAACTTCCTTCCAGCAGAAGACTCGGATGAATTGGCATTTATGAAGAATATGATGAAAGAAATAAACGAGCGATTCGACAAAGTAGATGTACGTTTTGATGAAATTGAAAGAAAGATTGACTGGCTTAAGGTGTCGATAAATTTTGCGGAAATCGAGCAAAAGATTCTGTCAATGGATGAGGAATATGTATTTCTTTATAACATTACGTCGGCACCAGCATCAAATAGGACATACGTATTTAAGATGGCATACGAAAACGGTTTTCATCTCACGCCGACAACGTTATACCTAGCGATCTTGAATGAACAAGGCGTCTTTCAGGAAGATCTGGGACATGCCGTTATGCGTTACACAGAAAATGACCGCAGGGATACGCTTGACTTTTTACTGGGAGTTATGCGGCTAGTATTGAGAGCAGTGAGGATCGAACTTGCCTATTACCAATTGAACAATTTCAAAGAAATCCATCAAGCAAAAAAGAAAGTTTGGGAAACCAGAATCCAAGAAATACGATCGAACTTTGATAATATTGATAAGGAGGTGAAGAATAAATACATGGAACAGTCCAAAGTGGAAATAAAAGAATATGCAAGCGAACATTCTGGAAAAAGTAATGAAGACTTTAGTAATGGATTGTTCGATATGTTAAAAAAGAAGTATTTCTGGCGAGACTTTTTAGTCATTACATATAACCCGATAACCGGTTCAGATAAACATCGTATGAAGGTATGCGGTGGATTCATATTTCTTAGGCTGAACGGACGCAACATCGTTCTTGCAAGCAAGGACGTTGGATCTGAAAAAATAGACTTGACTAAGTCACGTGAAGAAATGTTCAATTTCAAAATTGCTCAACTGACTCCAGACAACACAGACATTTCCCTTTTTCATAAAACTTCGATTATATGTGAGCAAAATAGTTGCAATGCGGAAAAGGTTTATGACGTGGTAGATAAATCATTTTCATGTGGCTTTGCTGTTATAAAACACGATGCCGATATACATTACAAATCAAGCGGAAACCGATTAATTTTCCAATATTTATTTCCTTATTTTAAGTTGTTTATGTTTGGCTAAACAGTTAAAGGTGCATTTTCATCACTTTTTGAATTTTTAGATACATTGACCAAGAAAAATCTTGAATGATTCTTTTTTTATCAAACCTCTCCAAATTATCGATTGAAATTCATTAAGATATTCTGTGTTTAATTACATTTCTATGTTTAACGGACACGACCATTGCTATGTTTAACGGATACGACCATTGCTATGTTTAACGGATACGACTATTGCTATGTTTAACGGATACGACCATTGCTGTTTTAACTGATACGACCATTGCTATGTTTAACGGATATGACCATTGCTATTGTAACAGATATCGGATATGACCATTGCTATTTTAGCGGATATGACCATTGTTGTGTTAAACGGATATGTTAATTGCTATCTATGTTAACGGTTTAAATATTTCTGGCAACAAGCGCCGATACTAAATATATATGTGAAACGTACAACCTTTGGAACATAATTCCGATTTGTATAATTCATTGTTTCAGAACAAACATTCTGTCTTAAAACGATCTTCAAATATAAATCCTGCATTTACCATCAAGAATATTGAGTTATCTTCTTACTCTATTATACACCACCCTATTGGATGTTGGAAGTCCCCTTTTGGGGCACATATAAACCCATTTTTCGAACTACCGTATTTTAGGGACGAAATATTCACCAATAAACTTATTGAGCTATATTGTAGTGTGTTTCATGGCATTTGTCCTGTTGGGAAGCTCACACCTTTACGCGTACTCACCACGAACCAGACCTCATCAGTAGCTTCTGTGAATAATTTTGGGAATTAGTTTTTGAATATATTTTAATTTGGTGAATAGTACGAATCTGTAGAGTAGTTAAAAAAGTATGCTAACAATAGAATCTGCAATCATGAACTAAAAAACCATTCTCATTTAAAGTTTTTTTTACATTTATTTACAAAATATTTATTGTATCATTCATTAATTATCACAAAAATGAATACACTCCTTACCAATGATTAACTGTTTTTATAACAGTGACATTTAAAATAAAAAATATATTTCCTATTTTTGCTATTTTAATAATTCAAAGATCTTAATCTTTTTACATGCTTGAGATAATAAGTGTTGGCAATACTATATCACAAAGGAAATGTAAACAGGAAAAAATATTCTTTAATTTGAACTTTCATACTTCTTACACATTCTACCACCTGTTGATAATATCAGGATCGTATAAACGTTAGTGCTAGTCCATTACAGTATTTCCTCCCACATATTCTAGATTTCTTTATACATTATACACATTACAAGTGATACAACTTGTATATAAAATATTCCAATATAAGGATGTTTCTGTTGTTTTCACATTGTCTGTCTCCTTTATTTCACTACTATTTTTCAATCCAGACATATTTCACATGTTCATACTAAATGCTCAAATCCCAAGAATTCTCAAAAATGATTTGAAAGCAGCAAGATACGTGATTACAATATTTCCATCTATTTGTACATAATCAAGATTTCTTTATACATTATACATACATGTATGATGTACGTAATACTCCATTATGATGGCGTCACTAATTTAACATTTTCCTTGTATATTTAATTCCAAAATTCCAAATGTTCATCATAAATTCTCACTTCTCGGAAATTCTCAAACCTGATTCTTCATTGTCTCTAAGCACACAGCCGCAAGACATTTCCAACAGGGATCCAGAATTCATCCTCGTGGAGATCTCGCACTGCTTCGTCAAACATATCTCGGGTAATTTTCTGCAATTATGCAAAACATAAGTGAAGTCAATCAAATGCAAAAATGACTTGGTATTAATAACTAGTACTAATAGAGTGAGTACATCTTTCAAATGTCCGAAACGAGGGAAATTACATTGAGCTAGCTGCAACACTGGGGATCACTCACAAAGTTTCTGATACTTTTTACAAGGTTAAACTTAGGGTCTAAGCAGCACCCAATATAGGGGAGGGGAATTCAAATAGGTGAGGCTAAAACAATGAACTTTCAGTTCATTTGAAAATAAACATTAAGAAATATTTTTGAAAAATGTTGGAGTCCCTCATGCCTCCTGAATCCATTATGCTTACCACATCAGACTGCTCTCTCATCTCCTCATAGAGTTTCTGCTTGTTAATTGTTACTTTGTTCCTTCCCTTGCCCTTCACAAGCTTCTTCATTGTCTCCTTCATCTCAATACGCTGTTTACGTGCACCAGCCGAAATTCCAGTTGTCAGGATTGTAATGTCAATTTTGCCTGTAGATGGGTCAACTGCGGCTTGTTTTAGGGCTTCCATCTGAAGTCTGTAAACAGAAATTGCACTTTGGTTGAACTTTTGTTCATGTTTCACCTTGGATGGACCAGGGGTCTCTATAGTGGTTGATTTCGCCTGTTATTTTGTGAAAAAGAGCCTCTTTTTCAGGACTTATTGGTTTTGGTCACTACCTCAAATAAAGATTGTTAAGATCCTTTTTCAAAAGATAAATTCTTTTGATGTTGAAGCTGAAATATTTCTAAGTGTAAAATTTGCATTTTGTTGAATATTTCTGAATTTTGTAGACATCTCACCTTCTGGCTTCTGTGACATCATCAATTTCAACTAGATCTGAGAGCCTCATTCTGGCATGAGCTTCGGCCAATCGGATGAGAGATTCAAGTTGCCTTGGATATGCAGACACCTGTCCTCTGCCACTGCCCATCTTGCGCATGAGTATATACTCCTGAATGAGGGCTGTGGAGGCATCCTCGGTGATCTTGGGCTGAATTTGGGTCTTGGCATACAATATGTAATCTTTTAACATCACCATATCCTAAAAAGTAGATTTTTGTAAAATAGGAATCCCAGATTAAAATAAATACTTAGTTACTTTTTTTGTATAAACACATACAGAATCTTGGGTTAAATTGCCAAAACGAACTTTTAATTTGTTGGCAAACAAGTTCATGAAATATGCATTTTCTCTCTAAAGTTCCTGGAAAATACCCAAATCTCCGTCATTTATAGACAATTTAGAGTGTTGACTACCAGCCTTATTACTTTCCTTAGAGGTAACTCCAATTTTATTCATTCCATTTTATATTTCAAAACATAAGCCAACCTACCAATTCCTCAGTTGTTTCTTGTTCATGTGATCTGTAGTAGAGGGAGACGAGATGGTTGGCAAGGCGACGATCAAATTGCTCATCTTGGGGATCAAGGATCAAGAAGATCAAATCAAATCTGAAATATAGAACAAATGGAAATATATTTGGTGTAGGTTACAAGTGTAGTGTACAAGTGTAGTGTGTGGAGAAAGTAATAGAGATGCAATCTTAACCTTGGAAATGAAAGAAAACCGATCTTGGAATACCGATAAATCAACGAATGAACAGATGGATGACTTAATTATCCCGCTTATTCAATGGTAAAAGGAAACTGACGGATTTATGTAATGCCTATTTCATCCATAAAATTGATAAAACACTTGATATGAAACAATACCAGAAGCAATACCATTTCATCTGGCCCTAGTTTCATAATCATATTTGCATCATTTCTAATGCTATCAATTTCATCGCCAAAATCTATGGGGCCACACTGGTTCCAATCCAAAGGAGATAATATAACCATGGTCACCTCGCCACACTCTATTAACCACCCAAAGATTCATTGGACAACTCACCTTGAGAGAAGTGTATGTGGCAACATAATATTCTCAATGATCGTCTTATTCTTGTTCCACTGAGACCCAACTGGATTGGCAGCAGCAAGGATTGATGTGCGGGCATTTAGGGAACAGATGATTCCAGCCTTGGCGATAGATAGAGTCTGTTGCTCCATGACTTCATGTAGAACAGAGCGAGTTGATTCGTTCATTTTGTCAAACTCATCAATGCAGCAGATACCATTGTCACTAAGTACCAATGCTCCACTGCAAATGAAAATATATGTATTTAAGAAATGTTATTACAAAGATAAAAGCATATATGGGGTGACCCAAAACAAACATTTTTCGAGGGAACAGATTTTTGGTCACCCTGTAATATGTCAAATATTAGCTAAATGGCTCCAAAAAGGGACAAGGGGTCAAAGAACAGACGAAGTGAAGGTAATCTGGTTTCTTCATGTTTTGTAATATATAGTTTATAACTTTCAGACCCGATATGCTTTTGAGATATACAAATTCCATGCTATGCAATTTTTCTGTAAAGCATTAGGTTTCTGGGTTTTCCTTTATAATTTAGAGCATATCTATGTCGCTTTCTTTTATACTTTGCCAATTACATTCTCTTCAATTCTAATTTCCATTTTAATAAAATCAATGGAGTTTTTAGAATACTCACGTCTGTAACGTAAGTTGTCTTGTCTCGGGGTCCTTTGTAATGTAGGCAGTCAATCCAACAGCACTGGATCCTTTCCCTGATGTATACTGGCCCCTGGGCACAAGGTGGTGGACATACTGGAGCAGCTGAGACTTACTTGTACCTGGGTCTCCACATAAAAGAATGTTCAATTCTGACCTAAAATTTTAGATGCAGATGTGAGAATGCATCCAGTTGTACCAGTATTGCAAAATTATCAGTCCAAAATGACAAAAAACAAGAGAACTAGTAGTAATTTCCACTTTTGGTGTATTCAGGATCATGATTGCCTACCAACTTCAAACATTTTTGAAGTGTTTCGAATGTTACACATTCATCATTGCTCTGAATTTTTAACTGATTGTTCAATTCTAATTTCATGAATTCTGATCACATAATGTCCAATATAGACTAGCGATACTATATTTTTTTCATGATTTTCAAATTATGAACAAGGTGAAAATGAATTCCAACTTGGAACAACCTAAAAAAGTGCCATGACTAGACTGTGGGATATATTTGACTTACCTAAAATGTCCTCTCCCAGATGCTGTGAAGTCTTTCCTAGATCCACCAAATAACTGCATAATGATTCCTTTCTTGATGTCTTCATTCTCATATATACTGGGTGCTGGAAGACAATACATACTAAGGTTATTATCTAGTCAGTTAATATTCCACTCAATTTCATAAACACCATATAATATAGATTATTTTTCTTGTCATAGATACTGTAAAATAAAGATTATTTTTCTTGTCAATAGCCTGAAATCCCAAATGAGATTTTTTGCATTTGAGGTATTGTCATTCTAAGCGAAAGTCATTTTCTTTTAAATTATCCAATTAAAGGAGATGTCTGAGCATTTCTTTGTAGTTGTTTACAATTTGAAGATTTTGATTGGTTTAGCTAAAATTGACAGATTATTGATATTACACAAGTTTTATCCACTATTTTGGATGAGACTTACTCCATTTTATTCTGTTGGGGACCAGTGATGACCAGAGGTCAAGTAATGTAATGTAAGTAATGTATATGTAAGAATTGGTTTAGGTTGCTTACCGATGGAGTTTACAAGTTTCTGGTAGAGGCCAGGTGTTTTGGAAAGTTTTTTGATTTCCTCTATTCTTTCGTCACTCAGGTGGATCTCACTGAAAATAAACCTACATTTTATTTTCTTGGCCTGGTGTCTAGCTTACAATATTGAAATCACTTGAAACAATGGAATCACTTGAAGCTTAAGAAATAACATGTCCATGTTAATTCCACCCATTTTCACTATATTTCTCTACAACTTAAAATGTTAATAACACATATAGTATTATCTACTTTATTCCTTATTCCTAAACCCATTCTGCAATTTCCACTTTATTTTGCATTTCAAAATTTGGTCACGATTTTCAAAAGTTTTAGTCTACTATACATACCCATCCTCATCAGCTTCATGCAGTCTCTTGGTATCTTGTTTCCTGTAGTGGACTACATCAATATGAGTTTTATATACAGATTTCACATTTCTCTGTTTTGGATTCATCCTCAAAGGGGTTGCCCTGTATATTCCAGTGATCGTGACACGGTCTCCCGCCATAACTTTATCAACAAGGTCATTGTGGGCGTATATCACAACAGTGTGGGGAGTTTGACCTGGTGGCATGTCCTCTGCAACAAAAAATTGAAAATGACCATCAAGTTATTTTTCAAGCATGCCCGAAACCTAATCAATCTTAGCACTAGTCTGTTCTTGTTGAACAGTAAGCAGTTTCCTGAAATTTAGATGACAATATTAATATGGTGCCCACATACCAAAACAGATACATGCACACCTACTTCGAGGGTATTTACATGTACTGGGGGATTGTGAGTAGGGTAGTGGAAAAATAAGTGTGAAATACTGAATAAATCTTGTTGCAATACCATCTAAATTATTATCATCAATAATCATACAGTATACGTAGAAGAATAAGTCACAACAGAATAAAATGGAACAACTATTACAATCGATTACATAGAATCTAAGGCAGTTAAGAGGATGCCTTCCAAAATCAATATTTCAGGCAATGTTGCTCATAAAAGTAATGAATACCTGGTGACTCCTGAAGTTTGATCATTTGTTTATCTGTAAACTGTGATCTGTTGTGAATCAGAGTGAAGGAATGGTTTGTATTACAATTCTGGCAAAGGGTAGGTTCTGCTATACGTCCTCTGTCGATCTCAACTGTTGCGGTGCTCTGACAAACGGCACAGCGGAAGAATGCTTCTCTCATCTCGGGAATGAGATAGGAGGTTCTGATCACAAGGCCATTGATTGTGATCAACTGGTCAATGTCTAAAATGAGCATCAAGAAAAATTTAATCATTTATTAAAGATCATTAAAACAATCAAATTTAATGTGTTGTATGGCTTCTGCAGATTTTTATCTATTCCTCGATAATTACACTCTTTGACAATCATTTTACTGTGTAATCAATTTTACAAAACTTCAAAATCATAAAAGATATACATATTTTAGAAAAAGAAATTTTTCACGATGATAGAATAAGAAATTTTAACAAGCTGAGATAATACTGAAGTGTAAAACATTGTGAATTTGACATTTATATTTCTCGGCAAAATATGGCACAATGCTTTCCTCACCTTCTGGGTTGAGAGCTCTCATATTTTTGGTTTTATCTACATTGTATGGTCGTACTTGGATCTGATGTGGCAGGGCACTGTCTGGGTACCTAGAATACACAATCAAAGAAGTCAAAATTCATTGGTCAGTAGAAGTTTTATTGGTTTCGTCACTTGTCACCAAAATTACATGCCGCAATCTGAGAATTGTTTGTTAAATTATGATTTCCTTTGCCTGTTGTTTTCCCAAAGAATGTCTTATCTGTTGTTCTTGTAATGTTGATGTTCCAATTTTTTGTTGTGAATAAAACCTCAATCTTAAAAGCTTATAGGTAGCATAATCTTGAGCCTGAATGCTATATGACGCTTTAACAATACATTAACATTGAACAGTGGAATCTGACCAAGGATAACTTAAGAATTTACCTATCGAAAAACAGCTCATTAACAGCCATATCAAATGTGGGTATGACCTCTTGAGGGTAATTGTACAGCTGCCTGTAGAGCTCAGAGTCAAACTGTTGTAAGTGATTGCAGTTGAAGTTCAGGAAAGGTTCTCCGACAAGGTTGATCTGAAATTGACAAAAGGGTTTTTATATTATGGATGTTCAGAAAGTAATTCTCACACTTTGACAAATTCGTTCAAAACTTTTTGAATGACCTCAGATTTCAGTGTTTTAACTAGGATCAATTTTTATTTTCAAGTAATTGCAAATCTGTTTTCAAGTAGATGTATGTCTATCTTAAAATCTGATTCACCATGTCTACATTTTGGAAAAATCACATAAAAACATTTTGGCTGAATGAACTTAAGGAATCTTATAAATTCCTGTTAATTTGAATTATTTCCGTTTTCCTCACCTCTTCGAGTCTTTGCAGGTACAGTGGTTCGTTGATATCCATGCCATCAAATTGTTCATCTTGGTCTACTTCATGGTCAATAAATCGCTGAACGAACTGCTTGAATTTCTCCTTGCAGTGGTTAACCACCACATCGGTCCCCCAGATTACCAAATGAGGACCCGCGTTACTCTCGCTACTGATGATGTCACTGGTGACGCGTGTTCCTTCCTAGAAAAGTCAACCAATGAGAACTGAGAATTGAAATTAAAATTGAGAAAAGGAGACTTTTACTTAAAAAGTATATTTTGCCAATTGGGAACAATAAAACTTGCACTTATCAAAGATGAATGTTACATTTTTGAAAAATATTTCGGTTTTTATTTTGAGATTTTTCTTTATACCTCCTGAGTTGGCAATTTTACACTAATATGAATATAAATCAAATTCATGATGTTCGTGAATTCAACAATTGTGTTTTACAATATATAAGGCATAAGATAGTTTTTTAAAGTTTTATCAAAAGTCACTTACTGGATCACTTCCTCCTGCGCCAACATTGACCTGGCGCATCTTTCTGTCACTACGGATGTCAGGGCGATGTCTGATTGGGGTAGCAGCTGCACCTGGGGTTCTGGGGGTACCTGCGCCCCTGGAACTGGGGGTGCCATAGTTAAGTGGGGAGCTAAGATCAATCTCACTGGTTCCAACTGAAAGATATGACATGTGCAACATTAGTAACTTAAACATGTTTTCTGAGAATATTCCTCATTTTTTTACATTTGAATGCTCTAATGCCAAGAGGTCAATGATAACTAGCTTATGATAACATAATTTCAAAAAATCAGTTCTACAACTTAAAATGTTGGATCAATGGATGTTTTCAAATTTTAATAAAATGAAGCTTTTTTGTTATGGTTCTGAAAAAGGTTAAAATAACTTCCTATTTCTAGTGAAAATCACAAAAACAACATTTCTTTGATTCATAATCAAACGACTCTGAGAGGAAAGAAGAGGAAATTACCCGGAATTCAAAGATGAACCGATCTCTGTGTAAAAATTAAACTGGAGTTCACCTTTGAATACTGGGTTATTTTCATTTATTAATAGGGCATGGAAATTAAATCAAATTAAGATGATTACTAGTATTCTATGTCACCCACCTCCTCCTGAGGAGTTTGCTCCACGGGGACTTGAAAATAGAGATGTCTCTTGTTGTTGGTCACCTGTGGGTGGGGATGAAGGCATGGGGGCGAGACCACTTCCTGGGGATGTGTCAACACGACGACGTTGACTTGGGGGTGAAGTAGCTTCTGTAGGCTCCTTTCCAGGCGTACGTCTTGAAGAACGTCGCGAAGCTGAAATTCAGATAAAATGAAGTTATACAATAATAATGCAACGCAATATAACAAAATATAAAAATGTGATATAAAAGCAATGTCGTCCAAGTATGTTATTGCCAGATACTCAGTCTTTTGTCCAACAATTGCCTACAATGACATTTCCTCCATGTCGTCTATATACAGTACCTGATTTATACTGCCAGCGAATAAAACAAAACCAATGTGTAACTTACGTGTGGCAGCTTTGCTTTTTTGACTCTTAGGTGTTCTTGGTTCACTCTCCGGTTGAGATTCTGGTTCAGAGCTGCGACCACGTTTACTCCTCCTGGAGCGAGGTGTTCCAGTTGGTGACGACATGATTTGATCTGTCGATGAAGATCTGCAAACAAATCATGAGAATAGATGTCATTCTGTGAAAGTAATTAAAATGTCTAATAATACTCTGTCAATGTTTATTGTTACTTTCTTACTGTGATTCAAAACAAAACCTTCAAATAGCAATGGACAACGAATAGATGGCGCGTTTTCGCGGGAAATTTTATTCACTAAAAAATTGACCCCGCTTTTATATGCAATTTTGGTCGCTCATTTCAACTATGTTAAAAGTCGAATTGCTGTTATTTCTTTATAAAATCTGTTTAATAATTGAATGAAGTCTTCGCGCATTCTGAAAAATAGAAGAAAATCGTTTTTGGCGAGGACGAACTTCACGAGGTAAAGTTTAAATCATTTAATTATACCCTCAATAATTTTTGGTCGCTTTGATTAAGCAGTTATTTGTAAAGTTTAAAGTCTTGAGATCGTAAAAAATTAAAACTTACACTGATATATATATGCGCAAATGTAGAAATTCAACTTTTAAAGTGGCTGGTGTAATCTTCCGATTCTCATGCAAGATGGCGGCCATATTTATCTTCCGGGGTCGCGTGTCTTGCGCAAAAATAAAATCGTTAATTTTGGTTAATCTGTGTTCAATTATGGTTGTTACTTCAAATAAATGTATATTTATGAAATCAAATATGCTATTGAAAACTTCTTCATACGATGTCCGTTGAATTTGGACTTATTAGACACAGATTAAAAGATTGTTATTGTCACGTGATTAGTTTGTTGTTGTTCTCGCGATCAAGCACGTGGATCGATGTGGATAGGTTGGTATGATTATTTGACAATTACCAATGCATAATTCAGTAATTACAGGTGCCCCAATCTATTATCATCGGATAATCACTTTGACTACTTGCAGTCTCACCTCCCTTGATGCCCCATACTGTAAAAGTTTATCATTGATGACCCATACTAATGATCACTTGATGTCCCATACTATTGATCATTTGATACATGTATACCATACTATTGACCACTTGATGTCCCACACTATTGATCACTTGATGTCCCACACTGTTGATTCCTTTGATATACTATTGATCACTTGACGTCCTATACTGTTGATCACTTGATGTCCCATACTATTGATCATTTGATGTCCCATACTATTTAACACTTACTACCCCATACCATTGATCACTTGATTTCCCACACTGTTAATTATTTTATTTTCTAATACTTATTAATTACTATTGATTGTCCAAGACTGTTGATTACTTGATATCCAGTACTGTTGATCACTTGATGTTCCATACTGTTGATCACTTGATGTCCCATACCATTGATCACTTGATGCCCCATACTATTGGTTAGTTGATGTCCCATACCACTAATCACTTGATGTCTCATACCATTGATTTCTAAATGCAGCATGCTTGTTTTAACCACTTGGAAAGTTTTATTTTGGTCTCTCTCAAGACTTTTGAAAACTATAATACATGTACATATGGACATATGTATATTATATATTATGGTAAACAATTTAGTGATATACATGTAGTGTCAGCTTATAGATACACTATTTGTATACATGGAAAGAATATTACTCAAGTAATAAAAAAATATTTGTACTAATGTTCTCCATTGATCCAAATGAAAGAGACATAGGAAATTGTACATTGCGAATGTTTATTTTAAAAAAAATACAAAAAACGCCCATGGGTGATACTCTGTGACTCTAATTTACGAAAATATGAACTTATATTAGACCTTCATTTTTTTTTGTTTGGTTAAATAAAAGTTAGAGTTACAAGAAAATATAAGGTATGATAAGATAAACCTTATTGTTAATTTTTAATTAAATTTCAAAGTTGGGGTCAGTTTTTAGCAAAAACGATTTTTGGACCCCCTGAGGGTGACCTACTTTAAATGGGTGCCACGGCCAGTATGCATTTTCAAAAAATTTAGGTTATAGATTTTCTTTTTATTGAAACTCCAAGCTTTCAGAAAATATATAGTTTAATGGGGTTGGGTTAATTTAAAAAAATGGTTGTCCAATGCTACTTCAAAGAGACTCAAACTCAAAGCGTGGAAAACTTGGAAAATTCAAATTTTTTGATCACGATTTATTTAAATATGCAGAGAGATCTGATTAAACCGAATACTCGTCATGCAGAAATGTACATTCACACATATAAATGGCATATGAAGACAGCAATCAGACTGTTATAACCAGGTAAATTACTTACATTTAAGCCCAGTGTTTACTTCTTTCTCCAACAATGTCTTTTCGCGCCAAATCTGAAGTTGACCCTTTAAATCACGTGACCTAAAAATGCGGGAAATTACGACATTGTTTCTTAATTTCCCCAATTATTTAAAAGTTGAAATAAATGTTGAGCTATTTGGATAAAAGTGACCTCGTTTCCCCAACAGTTTACTAGAATCTCAAATGTGATTATTGTGAGATAAGTATGAAATAGGCTTTATTCTCTGAAAGAATTTGACCCGGAAGTAGACTGTTTTCCATTCAAGATGGCAGCGCCCTTTAAATTTTCGTGAATTTATAAAAGTTGTATTTTCTGCAAATATTGTAAAAACGAGGTCTTTTCAGTCAATTAAAAGAACTTAAAATATGTCCTTTACACTCTCTTAATATAATTATGGCATTTGACGTGTGAGAGATCGCTCATTTTGAACTTCATTTATTTCAGTTTTTAAAACGTTCACATGGACTCATTCTGATCAGAGACCTAGCCTAGATCTCATTATCGGTTGTTTCCTGTTATTTTAATACTGACATTTTCATTGCATTAACAAAGAGATATAGGACATTTATTTTAGAATGACCTCACTTGCGTGCAGTAAGTTTTTCAGCCGGAGAAGTTTTGTTTGTCTCCAAGGACTGTATCGGTCATTTAGCAAGGATGGAACTATCTCAGTATCTCAGTCAGACTCTAAGAAAATTCAAGATTTACTCGAAGAAGCAAAGTCAAAACCAGATTCATCAGAAAATGATCACGAGTATCCATCAGATGTCAAAGATGCTCAACAGTTCAAAACTTATGATAAATGGAAGGAAAGTGTCGAGCACCAGGATATATCAGCACGTAAAACTAACCCAAGGGAAACTTCAATAATATTATTCCCAGGTCAAGGCAGTCAGTTTGTTGGAATGGGACAACATTTAATTCACTACCCTAATGTTATGGAAATGTTTGACGTAGCTAATGAAATCCTTGGATATGACCTTCTGAAGGTCTGCCTAAATGGACCTAAACAAGAACTTGATAAAACAATACATTGCCAACCTGCACTGTTTGTGACGTCACTAGCAGCTGTTGAGAAACTAAAAGATGACCATCCAGAGGTACTTCTTCTTTATATACGTGATCTTCAAAGAATGCGAGAATTATAGGAGGTTGAAAAATTGAAATTTATATGTGCCTATGTTGAACCTCTATTGGCACCTTGTCAAAATAATGACTGTGTGTAGGCATTACTTTCCTGAGCAATTATTTTGATGGGTGAAGAAACTAAAACAGAATACAGCTATACTTCACTTGCAAAATCAAATGCATCAAATTTATTTTTAGGCCATTGAGAACTGTGTTGGAACAGCAGTGTTCAGTGTTGGAGAGTATGCTGCACTAGTGTTTGCTAAAATCAAATGCATTAAATTGTATTTTTAGGCCATTGAGAACTGTATTGGAACAGCAGGGTTCAGTGTTGGAGAGTATGCTGCACTAGTGTTTGCTAAAATCAAATGCATTTAATTGTATTTTTAGGCCATTGAGAACTGTGTTGGAACAGCAGGGTTCAGTGTGGGAGAGTATGCTGCACTAGTGTTTGCTAAAATCAAATGCATTTAATTATATTTTTAGGCCATTGAGAACTGTATTGGAACAGCAGGGTTCAGTGTTGGAGAGTATGCTGCACTAGTGTTTGCTAAAATCAAATGCATTTAATTGTATTTTTAGGCCATTGAGAACTGTGTTGGAACAGCAGGGTTCAGTGTTGGAGAGTATGCTGCACTAGTGTTTGCTAAAATCAAATGCATTTAATTGTATTTTTAGGCCATTGAGAACTCTGTTGGAACAGCAGGGTTCAGTGTTGGAGAGTATGCTGCACTAGTGTTTGCTGGAGTTCTTTCTTTTGAAGATGGTGAGTGTCCCTCAGAATTTACAAAGATCATAGATATCTTTCAGGGGGTGCAATCGCCAAAAAATTTCAGTTTCAGTCGGGGGGGGGGGGGGTTGCAATCATGGCATAAACAACCCCCCAAACTTTTTTTTTGAATTTTACAGAAATTGATGCAACTTCCTTCAAAACTGAGCTAGATGCTTCTAATAAAAGACATTTTAAAGCTCTTCTTCTATCTACTGTTTGTATTTTTATTGGTTATGGGGGGGGGGTTTCAATCACACCCCCTGGCTACGCCTATGATCTTTGTACTATTAATTGCTAAATTATAGTTTTTTAATGTCACCACCAGAAGCTGACATATTGTTATAGTCTCCATCTTTTTGTGGATAGCGTTAGCATTCAGCGGTTGGAGTTTGACTTCTGTAACAAATAGCCTGTGGTTTTAGAATATTTTACTTTAGTCACTTTCGATATATATATCATATCATAATTTTGGGGAAATTAGCTATAAAAATTACAGCCTGCTGGTATCTGCTTATGAGACTAGGCTATATCAATCAGTCCAAGAATTCATCAAATATATCAATTTTAAAGGCTATAATAGGACGAACAAAGATTTTTTATACATACATTTATTCCTTTATATACAATACAATCAAAGTTTGCCAAAGTTTTATAAAAAACATTTGCGGCAATTTTAGTCAATAAGAATAGGAATACATACCCTTTGCATTCGTTTGACTTCACTTCGTAAAAGAGAGCTTCGTCTTCACTCTTTCAAACTAGAATAAACCTGTGAACTCACCGCGCCAATCAGTGTTCGTCGGCCAAATTTGACCGAAGTTCTTTATATGGTCATTCCTTCTGACGTCATCGGCAGAGTGTAGTTTAACTAGACTCTGCGCGCAGGGTAAGGAATACATGTACATAGAAATTGAAAATTTATCGAAGTAGTGGTATAACTCATTTAAGAAACTATAATAATACATGCATGTAAAAATTAGCCAATAAAGATAAAGATAAAGATAATATAAAGATAAGGTATCGTTATGCTTCCTAGTCAATTCATACCCAAGACAACTCGTACCCAAGACAACTTGTACCCAAGACAACTCGTACCCAAGTCAACTGGTACCCAAGACAACTCGTACCCACATTTATTTTCTGTATTATGGGTGCATATAAGAAAACAAATTGAGTCTGTGTCAAAATGTTTAATGTTATAATGTGCCTCAATATTTTTTTCTGAATTTAGAAAACATTTTTTCTCAATGGATTAAGCAAAGCATTTTGTTTTAACTTGGATTACCTTTGAAGTGCTTTGAAGGGCTTGTTCTCAACTTTTTTGGATTATATTTGAACACATGCATGCAAAGTGTATTATATCATGTATGAATAAGTATCAAAATAATATTTGATATTCATATTATTTAGAATATTTTTTATTGCTTAATTTTATGAAGGTGACTTCTTAGAATTATCATTCTTTAATCTGATAATATGAAATCCTAAATAGATTATCTGTTTAATAAGAAATAGGCGCAAGTTTTGAAAATCTTTATATTTTTGATAATACCATATTTCAAGATGAATTAGATCTGATACTTGTTCCAAACACTCATTAACATACAAAAATACCACTAATATTGTGAACAATGATTATGAATATGTGGAATAAACATAAATCTCTTCCCTCCAACATCTGAATCTGTGACCAATATATTTATTGGCTAAACTATTCTGAACTGTATGTCACCATTATAATATGTATATCTATACCCATTCCCAGCCCAACACTTGATTCAAAACAAAACATATACTTGGGTACAAGTTGTCTTGGGTACTAGTTGTCTTGGGTACGACTTGTCTTGGGTACGACTTGTCTTGGGTACGACTTGACCAGTTACCATTGTTACAAGTCCCCAATATACAAATAACATGATTTAACAAATTATTCCATTATAAAAAAATTAATATATTGCTTACAAGGCAGCTATTCTACAGGTATCAAGTGTAAACTTATATGAATCTTGTGTTTTCCTTGTATTAATGCACATACCCCATCTATAGCACTAATTTGAGTCTAGTATAGTTCAAGTTGTAGATTTTAAAATTCAACAATAAAAACCCAAATGACACCCAAATGTACCAAGTGGTACCAATATTTCCTCATTAACTGCATATGCCTGTGTAATTTGTTTATCTACATTATAGCTTATATTCAGGTAAAAACATACCTTTTCACACATGGATAAACATTTTATAGAGTCACAAGATGGAAATATATTCAGGAAATTCTTCCAACTTTCAAACCAAACCTTCTGTGGGCATTTCATAATCTTAGATGTGCTTTTCCATTTATATGTATTTTAGGGAGGCTGGATAGGGCCTAACAAAGAAGTAATAATACCCAATTTCCTGGAATTTAGTCCAAATAGTCCATATTTATTTTTATTTGGCAAGAACATTTATAATCCATATATTTTGGATTCAATGCATTATACAAAAAATATAGCAAAATAGAAATAAGTTCATTTTTGGCCCACCCTGTAAAGTAAATTGAATAAATCTTAGATGTTCCCTTTAAGTAAATTCCTAACTAGAAAAACAGCAACTCCACGGAGTAGCAAATCCCACCGAACGGCAGTTGAGTTACCAAAGATTACGAAAATGAAAAATGGCAGCCATTCTGAAGATCAGCGGCTATCTTAAAAAATATTTTCTCGAACAGAGCTATTGTGTTTCTAGGCATCAGCATATAAAATTTGAACCAAATCTGTTCACTGGTATTTGACTTATCAAAGATTACGTTTTTTCTTATGAAAAATGGCTACCATTTTGAAATTCAGCCGCCATCTTGAAAAAATTTTCTCGAACAGATCGACTGTGTCCCTAGGAATCATCATATAAAAATGAGCCAAATCTGTTCACTGGTATTTGAGTTATCAACGATTACATTTTTTACGAAAAATGGCGTCCATTTTGAAATTCAGCCGCCATCTTGAAAATTCCTTCTCGAACAGATCTCCTTTGTCCCTAGGCATCATCATATAAAATTTGAGCCAAATCCATTCACTGGTATTTGAGTTATCAAAGATTACGTTTTTTTTACGAAAAAAGGCCGCCATTTTGACAATCAGTGGCCATCTTGAAAATCTCATCTTGAGCGAAGCTGCTTTGTCCCTGGGCATCATCATATAAAATTTGAACCAAATCCGTTCACTGGTATTTGAGTTACCAGAGATTACGTTTTTTTTACGAAAAATGGCCGCCATTTTGAAATTCAGTGGCCATCTTGAAAATTGTAACTCGAACAGATCTACTGTGTCCCTTGGCATCATCATATACAATTTGAACCAAATCCGTTCACTGGTATTTAAGTTTTTTTACGAAAAATGGCCGCCATTTTGAAATCTAGCCGCCATCTTGAAAATTTTTACTCGAACATATCTACTGTGTCCCTTGGCATCAGCATATAAAATTTGAACCAAATCCGCAAACTAGTATTTGAGTTATTAAAGATTACATTTTTTACGAAAAATGGCCGCCATTTTGAATTCAGTGGCCATATTGAAAATTCCTTCTCGAGCAGAGGTCCTACACCCATAAGGCATAAGCCTATAAAATTTGAATCAAATCCATGAAACGGTATTTGAGTTATCGCCCGGACAAACAGACGGACGGACGGACGGACGGCTTTCCTATATCCCTCTCGAACTTCATTCGGTGGGATAATTATGGTATTATTACGTAATTCATTCAACATTTTTTTCAATATTTATTTTTTTAATCCTAGATCATTGAGCTGTTGAAAGAAAGGTAGTCATTATGTGTAGTATTAGGAAAATAACATGACTGTTCTGATGCCCACCAGGTTGCGAGATCCCAGCTTTGAGGCTTCCAGTACCAGCTTTCATGCAGTAACTTGCAGACCATACAATTCATTTTCTTTCCTCCAGTTATTTCTCCAAATTTGTATTTTCTTCTCCACAGAAAATATGACTCGTACAAAGTAGCATTTTGATAAACTTGGTGTAAATGTTGCGTCAGGCTCTCAACAGTTTCAAAATCATTTGTATGAATATACGATCCTGGGGGTAAATATTTCTCATATCCTGACCTTCGCCCTCTAACAATTGGTATGAGATTGTGTTTAAATGCATTTGCCCACAGCTTCTCTGTGATATATCCTTCACAGTCACTGTTCTCAAATGATATGTAAAAAATGTAGTTGTTTTCTGGAAAGTAAAGTGCTACAGTTTAGTATATTACAAAACAGTGCAGTGCAGTGCAGTAGGATATGGCATGCTGCAGTACAGTACAGTACAGTGCAGTAAAGAGCAGTACAGCACAGTGAGGTACTACAGCACATAAACAATTGTCAGAATGTTTTAATTCATAATGGTTACTGATTATAATAATCAAAAATGTGCTGTCATTAATTTTTTAATACTTGTTCTGCTCTTATAATCTGTTTTTAAAAGTTGGTCTCTAAGTAAAATAATTGGTGTGTTTGTTGTACTTTGAATTCATTGAATAACTTATTGAAGGGAGAAGAGAAAGACATTCTAGACCTGTAGCCAGCTTTTGCCAAGGGGGCTCACTTTTTAAAAACTTCCAGCGGGGGGTTCACATTTGACCATTTTGGCCAAAAATCACTTGATGAAAAGTGCTCAGCATTGTGAAAAACTGCATGATTTTGAAATAACCTTTGGCCAAGGGAGGAGGGTTCACTGACACCCCCTGAATCCTCCCTGGCTATAGACATGCATTTCTCATCATGTTGCATTGAGCCTGAGACATTTTGGCTTTTGTTTTCCTATCTAACTCCTCATATAAGACTGGCTGGGGAAAGTGAGACAAGTACAAGAAAAGATTGTTCTAGCTTACCTATATAATTCCAGCAGTCATTTGGGCAAGAAGCTCCACATTTGCCGTAGACATCAATATGAATATGTTTCATAATTTCAAGTACATAGAGCTCTCTCTGACTGTCTGTATGACAATGGCTCACCAGCCAGGCTGCTGGCTTGGTCCTATTTGGATACATTGGTAGCGTGAAATCACTTTCCTCTTTGTAGTAGTACCCATATGGCACATATAAGTCTGCATCGGGATTTGCTGCTATCGTGAGATTTACGTGATAATTCCATTTTGTTAAGTTCATAGCTCCTATCCTATGTTTACCAGGTGCTTCGTGCGTTACAAACAGCCATTTTTGTGACGCAGGGTGATATGGTGGGATCTCGTTTCTTCTGTTGAAATGACTAAAAATGACTGCATCAGTTGTTCTTATGAGACTCTTGTTTCGTACTAACTCACAATTGGGCTGTGGACAATTTCTATAGCTAGAAGAGAATTGTCTTGAGCCGCCATTTGCAGCAGTCCATGCTAGGATCGTTATAATTTCCGGTTTCTTTGGGATTATTTGGTCTGTTGATACAGGATAATATTGAATAAAAGGGTTATCACCTGAAGCGTGCATATTCAGGGTATTACGAATATGGCGATCTTCTGCGTCCAATATGCTTTGCTCCCCATCATTTCTGATAATAGCATTTGATTTAGTCATATTGTAAATATTTGTTCCTCTTGGTTTCGAATACATAATGACAGATCCCGGTTTCATAAGATGGTACATTATGACATAAAACGCAGTAGACACCACACAGGCTAATAGCAATTTCTGAAAGCAATACACCAGTCTTTCACAAACTTAATATGCATGTTATATTATTGCCATTATAATGGTTGGCTGTTTTTTTTATTTATTACAGTGATGATAAAAAATACTGATAAATTGTAATCATCGATAATTTATATAACTTACATTTTTCCATGACTGCATTTTTGTTCAGTTAGAAGTAGGCCTGGTTCGTTTTGGAAAATCAATTCATATTGTAAAACTAATTATACACTTTGAGCCTGTCGTGTTTCACTTCATTTGCATTTGAGTCTAAACACCCATCTGTGCAAAATTACAAATTATTTATCACTTGAAGTTAGCATGCTTCATGCCAATTAGTTATGTTTATACTAGCGCTGTCACACTTTAATGAATTGGTACTAGACTGAATCTATAAACTAGTGATTTTGTAGTACTTATCAGTAATATATCTGGCATACAGCCTTATGGATAAGATGAACTCACCAGAGTGTGACATCATAAGCAGATCAGGATTCCAACTGTTTTTTTTTAAATATACCTTTTTATTAAATCAATTTTGATTCAAAATCATACTTTGCATACCAAATGAAAACATGAAGTTGCAATCTAGCTATGTAATATTAATTGTACACTTTTACTTGAATAAAAGATGTCACCAGCATCTCACTTTAACATATAGGGCGTAATGATAAATCGACATAATTTGCATAAAACCTGGAAATATGTAAAATTTCTTGCAAAGATATTCTGATTTTAAAAATGTATGAATTGAAAATGTTAATATGCCCCAGCTATCATGGCAATGTCATAGAACAAAATAATAGAAAGACTATGGAAGGAACACGGATATAGTGCAGTGAAAATAAAACAACTATTCCCAAGTAAAATTAGACTGTGTATCAACATTAATTGATTGATTAAAAACTCAAAGAAACTGTAGGTATTTCTCGAAAGTTATGTACTGGTCATCCTAAATCAGGTAAAACTGAGGAGAATATCAAAACCGTAAATAATATTGTACGCAGTTATTAAGAATCCATCAGGAATTTACCAAGAGAAATAGGCTTACCTTTCAGTGACCCATCTTTTATAAAATTCATTGTATAGTTATGTGCACTTGATATCTTCTAAACACGCTTGGATTCACAAGAAGAATCATTTACATTTACTTGATTAATATCATCAAACAGTGCCATATTTTGACCATTTTCTAGCTAACCTGTAAAAATTAGAACTTTGCAGCCACTTAAGATACAATGAATATTTTTCTCTGTTTCTAGCTCTAGAGATCATCAAAGTACGAGCAAGTGCAATGCAGGAAGCATCACTAGAGACACCTAGTGGTTTGATGTCTGTCTTCGTAGGTAATTATACACTTTACAATATGCAAGGTAGTCTTGAATCAAGCCCTTGTGAACATCTGAAGAACTTGCAACAAATAATAATAAAAGTGGAGTTTCAAAGACTTAATGCAAGACTACAAATCTTCAGCTGCAAAAAAACTACTTCAATCAAGTTCACATTTTAGATATTGTAAAATTTTATTTTATGATTTAGATTTCTGTTCACAAGACAGCGGGCGAATACAATTTTTGAAAAGCCTGCACTCGCTTACTTTCTGTTCTCAGTGATCAATGTCCTTCCCAAGGTCGGGCCATATATCGCTGAAAACCTGGGGCATATATGCAACGATAGCGACATAACCTCTAAATACATGTTAGATCAGGTGACTGAGATCATTGTTGATTTCTTTTTATCTTGGCCTATAATGCCTTTTTGGCGATTGGAAAGCCATCTGATGTAAAATAAGATTCATGAAATAAATAGATCACCATATAAAAAAAAAATAATAATAATAAAAAAAAAAATTCTTTTTATAAAACAGGTGCCGACTCCAAGCTAAAGTTTGCCATGAAGACTGCAAGGGAGTATATAAAGGAGTTTCATGATGTACAAGACCCCGTGTGTTCTATTGCTAACTACCTTTACTCCAATTGTAAAGTGATAGGAGGTCATCAACAAGTAGGTTTTTATATGATGACTTTTCATTTTTATAAAATATGTACTCCTTATTTATTTTTTAATATATAGCAGACTTGCAGGTATCATATTGAGAGAACAATTGAATTGTTTCATAAAAATGTATGTACTGTACATGTAGTTACGAATTTTATCATAATACATAATTGAGTCTTAAAAATCCAAAATACGAAAGATTTGATATTCAGGCTCTTAATTTCCTAAAAAATACATGTGCATAAAGATTTGGTGTGTAACATAATAATTCTGATTTACAGGTCTTGAAACGAGACACTTTCCTTAAATGATGTCTCCTTTTAATGTTTTCTATAGTAACAGTTTGGATTTTCAGGCTCTCGATTGGTTAAAAAAGGACTCTGTTCGTAAAGATTTCAGTCTTCGTCGTCTCAAACCTCTTCCAGTCAGTGGTGCCTTTCACACAAATCTCATGCGGCCAGCAAAAGAACCACTTCAAAAAGCAATTCAAAAGGTCCATTTCGAAGAACCTCTCGTTAATGTGTACTCAAACGTTACTGGGAAACGATACCCTAAACCAGCAGTGATTAAGAAAAGCTTAGTGGATCAGATTGTTAAACCTGTACTCTGGGAGCAGACATTACATTATATGTATGCTAGAGATGTAAAACAAGAGTTTCCTGATACTTATGAGGTTGGTCCGGGAAAACAACTAGGGACTGTATTAAAAGTTGTGAATGGTAAAGCACATACGAGATATCATGCAATTAGTGTTTAATGCTTTCAAGACAAGGCACAATCAGGAATTTCTTGAGGTAAAAGAATATTCTTCAAAGCAGCTTGATTGGTGTGGAAAAGCAATGAACTCTTGAAAATTAAAATGATGGAGCTCGGTTGTATGAGATATTGTGCTATCAAAGATGATTTCTTAATACTGAATCAATGGGAGATGACAATACTAGAACAAAGAAAGTCTTCACATTGAGAGATTTTTGAATAATCAGTATTCATAAATAACTTTATTTTCAGCTTTTTTGAGAACATCTGTTCTTTGAAAATAAGAAAATAAATTCATACCAAACTCTAATACTCTTATTTTTGGATTTAACAATGGCCTATGGGATCGACCAGGCGTCCGTACGGCCGTTGGTCCGTCCGTCCATCCATCAACAATAGCCATATAAATTAAAACTGCTATTCGGATTGAGTCATATCCACATTCATTTATGCATATCCATAATGCCTTTTTGACCTATGATTGCCATTTCCCAAGTTTGCGCGGTTTCCGAGAAATTGCTGATTTTGACGTAGAGAAGTCAAATGTTCTGTAAATTCTAGACACTTTGTTGAAGTAGAACTTTCAAATAACTTGTAGTAGTTGCTGTATATGCAACTTATGTCCTCTGAAGATTTAAAAGCTCTTGGAATTAGTTTTTGGTGTTTACTCTATAAAATTTGACAAAAAGTAGTCATGTTCAGGAAACTTTCTCATGTATAAAGTCAAAGGAAGGTTTTGTGATTGACAAGTTTCTCAGTTTGCCTTACACTTGATCATTTCTTGCAATGAATTACATCAGTACTAGATTGAAGCATTCCCTACATATTGCTCAATATATGTCAGCATCAAATTTTTACCGTTTTTGAGATATTTGACGTCAAAAAACAGTAAAAATAAGTTATTTTTCAACTTGCTTCAATTTGACCAAACTTTTTTTGAAAATCATCTACAAGTTGCCAGGAGTTCAAATCTGACATTAGTTTTAGGATTTGACCTTTACATGACCTTCGAAAGGTCAAAAGTTTATTTTTCAAATTGATTTTTGGATGTAAATTTTGGTCAGCTTAATCAGAAGACCTTACTGAGCTCTGAATAAGTAAAATCTTCAAGGTCAAAAGTCATCAAACTAGGTCACACAATTGTGCTATCTAAGTTTCTCAAAGTTCGAGACTACAAATCCAAATCAATATTTTTGTTTGAAAGTCAGGATATACATTCCTCTGAAGGTTCCAAACTGTGTGAGCTGAGCACAGGACCATGGGTCCTTTATTTAGAAATTGGGACATTTTGAACTCAGACATTTCTTCCCAAAGCCTCTGTTGAAACCATGGAAACCAGAAATTTCAAAATGAAATGATGATGTCATGGAGAACAATGTACTTATGAATTCTTTAGCGTTTTGAGACTAATGAACCCCACTCAAATAAAAAATTGATGAGATAAAAAAAACTGTGTTTGAAAAAACCCAAATATGAACACGAAAGAAAACATCTAATTTAATAGTATAATTTCCTATTTCTGTATTTCATAGATAATTAACATATAGATGATGTACATTTAGGTATGAAATCTAAATCTAAGCCACTCTTTTATAAAATGATAAAACACAATTGTACTATTCTCCAAATAATTTCATTTCTTCTAGTATTTTACCTTGCTCAATAAAATATACTCGGAGAATGTGTACTTTGTGTTATCCCTCAATTTTGATTGGTTGAACTCAACTCATGAGTAAAATGTCGTTTTTCATTTTTAAGTATATCCTTCAAGTTTGTTATACACTTCTAAAACTCTGAATTGTCAGGTTATTCTATAATTTATATTTACATTTTTATTTTACATTTTTCTGTTTTCTAAATCACCTAACTGGAAAATCTCTAACAATTAGATATTTCCTGGGAGTATATATTAAAATGTCATGTATTTGGGTAATTATGTGACATTTTTTTAGAGCTGCCACAATGGTTAGAAACATGCCATTCATGAATTCAACACACATTCACATGTTACATTTTTCCCATGACTCCCATAATAAATAGAGTATCCACTTGAGAAAAACTGCACAGTTTTCAAAGATATTTTTATTTCTTTTCATATTTTAATTCTTAGTAAATTTATGCTTTCTCGTACTCAGAGAAAGTTGTATCAATACAAATTTAAAATATTCCTAATACAGTACATGTCAAAATAATGTGGACATGTGTCGAAATATCTTGATAAATGCTTTCCAAATTGGTCAAAATATTGCAGTCAAAGCACTGACAGAAGAGAAATATCTCCTCAATTTTATTTTGATGTATCTTTTGTCTCGAGTCGAAAAACTGCCAAAATTGTGCAAATTTTTCTCAAAAGAATCACTTTAACGTCAACATGCATTAGATAATACTTGAATATTTTTACATTATTCACTACCTGAGAGTTTATATGCAATATGAATATGTGGTCACAAATAAAAAGGAATACATAAGGACCTTTGTTTGCACATACGAGGGTGACCAATAAGTTTGCGGAAAACACTCTAAAACTACAAAATTAGGCAATACAAGAGTGACAAATAAAATCTTCAAAAAAAAGAAACTTAAATTAGTTATTTCATTGATGTAAGTGTTTTTGACTTCAAAAAAATAAAAATATAAATGTGAGTGGTGAAGTTCTGTTTCAGTATCACTACACAAAAGTTTCAATAATATTTTGTTTAATAACCGTTTTAAGCAACATTTTGGTCACAGCTTAATGTCCACATTTTGAACAATTCAGTTATGGTCCCAGTATAATGTAATAATGTAAATATGCAAGAATTTTAAAAATCCCCCTCTCCCATCATAAACACAATATAATACTAAAAAATTGTGGGTAAGTATCGTATTTTCCATTAACTTATTGGACCCTGAAGTACATTCTACTTACTAAACATATATACATAAACAATAATAATTGATAAATACATAACACAAGATGTACTATTAAAATTTAAATATGACATGAAATACCAGCTTTATTCTGTTCAAATATCTGAATATTTTTCAATGAGATACTGGTATTGTTCTGATTGGAAATAATGGCTTGTGATTCTCCTGTACTATTCACTTAAATACAATAGGTCTCTACTAACTTAAGTACAATACAATAGGTCATCACAATGTACAATAGGTCTATACAATCTATGCATATTCTATCTTTACCAGATTAAAATAATTTTTATATACAATACGTTATTAAATAATGCTAAAATTGATCATTCCCCAGATGCAGGAGTCAGACATCATCAACTTGTTCCTTCCATATACCTGGCCTCTCCATTTGGAGATTATATATTTACTGTTTGCATTGGGCTAGTCTTGCATCAATATTTTGCGATACGCACCCCTAAATCATGTGTGCATTAATAGAAAATTGGAAAATGGCAGATGAGATACTCAAATCAAGACTAGAAGTACAACTGTAAAGCACTGAGTGTTTCAAATCCCCCTTCATCCCTTATCACTCCTGGGGGAGGAATGATTGAGGAAGGGGGAATGATGGAAGGATGGGGATGGAGAGCATGACCCGATTCAAGTTTTGAATTAAAACTTCTTTGGTTACTCCCACGTATTAACCCCCTTCGGTTTCACTATCTGAAACATTGATTTATAAATAGAAGTAAGGGGGGGGGATGCAGGCATGATACAAGACTATCAATGCTATATGTGTCTTTGGTATATAAGACTATACAGCACAATCTAACATTGGTAATATCACTGGTTTGAATGTAAGCCCAAATCTGAACTCTCATGATAAAGTAAATGATCTCTTCGATGATAAATTGCACATTTATTTATACTCAGTAGAAAAAAATTGAGGCAATATTGAGGCAATTTTTGATGCAAAACATCAATTGCATCTTATTCTGCCATAGGCATTCAATTCTTATTTGTGGTACAAAACGAGAAAACAATTAGGAAATTTTTCTGAACTTTTATGTTCTTGTATAACCATATATGTTCTTAACTCTAATATGAAACAACACCATTTTAAGTCCATATATGGTAAGTATGTATATGGTACTGTGTATGGTACAACTCCTTACATGGTATTACACTGTATATAATGGTCCAACTCTATATGATGCAAGACCATATGTGGTACAACATAATATAAAACAAACATATGGTATGAGTATTTTAAGGTAGTGTTAGATGTATCTACATGTACTTGGAGTCAGTGCTTCATTATGGCAAAACACTGCCTTATATGGACAGCCATTGGATATGACACTTCTGTATGACATTTATCTGACTATTGGTATCTTGGATATCTTGTACAATATTCTTGTTGTATATTGTATAATTTGCACTTGCTCTGGACATTTTTGCGTCTATTTAACACAATTTTTTGAAATCTTTTGACCTACTTTATTCCTCCTGGTGTAATCTGATTCAATGAAATATTCATGATCCATACAATATTGCTTAAAGTCCTTTTTCACAGCATCTGACTTTGCCATAAATCTGATATTGTAGGAACCTGACTATGCCAAAATTCAGCTATGCTAGGATCTGACCGCCATCATCTGACTATGCCAGGATCTGACTATGCCAGGATCTGACTATGACTGAATTTGACTATGTTAGGAGACAGTCTGTGGAATCAGCTATGCTAGAATTTGGCTGCTATGATCTGACTATGCCATGATCTGACTATACCAGAATTTGACTACGCTAGGAGTCCGAGTCTGTGGACCTTTGCAGATAAAAATGTGTGCAGTACGAAGACTATTGGCTTAGGGCAACCATGGAGGTCTAGTTCCTGGAAATAAACATTATTTATTTGTTAATTGATTTATTACATCCTCTAAAATCCTAAATGCAGGCATTGAAAAATCATCCACAAGTTCCATTTTCCCTCCAAGTGAAACAAATAAACGCTGCACCGCAATAGTGTTTGGATAAGACAAGTTTCACTGTATGTATAAATGAATAAAGATGAAAAGCAATGGAATAAATTAGAGCAGTTAAGTTTGGGATGACTTAAGGAAGCTTTTGGAGATTTATGTCACTATCCCGAGATATATGCCCGAGGCTATCAAGCTAGACGAACCATTCTTGGGAGGTCTATATTTCACAGTAAACAAGAGCATATATCACAGGATACTGAACTGAACAGTATATATCATGCCTTTCTAAGCATATTGAACTTCCTACTTCCAAATAAACCATGGTGAAACAAGGTTGCAGCCAGCGTTGTAAAATAAGAGAGGCAAATTTAAATAGGTGAGGCAAATTCAAATAGGTGAGGCAAATTTAAATAGGTGAGGCAATCTCTAAAAGGCGAGGCAAAGATAAATGTGATTTCTTAGACATGTTCATGATTCAGCATTTATAATTTACACACTGAAAGGGAAAATTGTTCTTTATAGTTTTATGTCTTTGGGTATATACATGTACAGTGTACTTCAATAAAATATTTACTTTGAATTGCATTTTTTGGAATATTGCCATTCTGCATTCGTTACAAAAGCATATTGCTGTATTTCAAACTACTTTATTCCTCACAAATTCCACTTTCCATTCTACATGTATTTTACATAAAAAACATGGCCACTATATATGTTATCAATGACTCCATTTGAAGCAATTCGTTCAGTGCTATGCATGCCTTCTCTCTTGCAGATGTTTGATTTCCCAGATATTGAATTAGTCCATTAATGTTGCCTTACATAAATTGTTATTTAGTTTCATAAAGATTTAACAATTCTCAATTTCAATCAAACATCATTTCCCAAGATTCTTGAGGGACCCTGAGAAATTAATGCATTTAGGAGCGGCAGAGAAGGCAAGGAATGCACCGAACCAAATGTTACAGAAAATGTTCATAGCTGTTCCATTAATCATACCTGCTCCCCTTCATCCCCAAAATCGAGCCATAGCAAACGATTTCCATCGTCTGCTGACATTCGCAACTTCTCGTAAGGATGTGCCCAAATAATATTCGAGCTTCTTTTGTCCTGGCCACCATTTTTGGGATTGATAAGACTAAACCCATTCTCAAAATGGAGTGTTAATCGGCAGTCTTGGTTTTGCCAAGTTGCGGCTATAAAAATGAAAAATATGAAATTTATTTGTTGGCATAATATATAAATACTTCCATGGATTTTGATTGGCCAATACATATTGTGGTTACAGAAATAATATGCTATTCATTATTAGGGGTCACACGGTTCGGTTCGGTTATTGTATTTCACAGTTCGGTTCGGTTCTGATTGCGGTTCTCACGGGCCTCGTGAAATGAGCAAAAATATATGAAATTGATCCGAAAATCAGAAAACATACTAAGTGTGTCACAGTGTTTTATTGTATTCAGTATTGTAAGTATCCAGTTTCACACAATGTTTGTTTGTTTGTTCAGTCTTTTTTCCCTCCCTCCCTCCCAAAATATCTGTGTCTTCACTGTGTTGATCTTCTTGTTTGATGTTCAAGTTTTTTCAACACATAAAATAACTTGTCAACTGTTGGCAAAATTAGCACAGTACTTCACTAAACTGAATAAATGTTTTCTTTAGAAATATAACTTAAGTTCAACACTTTGTCAGGACTCAACATGGATCAAAGGCGAACGTAATACACAGAACGTGACTCGTTCGCAAATTCAATGCATTCGGCGTTCGGCTTTTTACAGTATACTGTTATATCAACCAATAGGATTGCGCGAAATGTTTAGCGTAGGTCACTTCCGGGTCAATATGCCGGTGAAATTTATCAACATTTTCCTTTTGTTTTTGTTATCTGCCGTCTATATCAGAAGATCGTCGTAAATATCAGGTATGGTTCGCATTATTGCATGATGATTAACGATTCCAGACGATGTTTAGTTAATTGGTATTACACGAAAGCTTGAAATGGAGTTTAATTCCGAGTTTACATTTTTATTTTTCTGAAGTGAAACTGAAAATGTCACGGTTCTTCAAGAACCGCGGTTTTCAAGATTGTGTGCGAGCTAACCGTCGTGGAGGTATGAACCGCGGTAACCGCAAGCCACGGTTAACCGTGTGACCCCTATTCATTATACAATGCCTGTAGCAAAAGGCCACCATCAAAATTCTTAACTTATAGATAAAGGTAGCTCAATAATTGTTCAAAATGCTTGAAAAGAGGAATCTCTGACACGGTAAACATTAATCCTCAATACGTTCCTTCCTATTTATAAAACTGTTCCAATATTAATTATGCTCACTTAAAGCTTTTACAAGCCATATTAAATTATTTGAGATTATTCAAAGAATCATAACAAGATGAAAATTAATTTGTGGTCATTCATGGAATATGAACTGTGACTCACCACATGTTATTTCTTTGGCAAGTACAGCTGCACTATGGGCACCATTGATAAATGCCCGAGACCACGATGATAGATCCTTCTGGGTCCCTACACGAAATACATGAGCTTCAACACCCTGGCGTGAACCAGTCCTTGTACCAAATGTCAGGATATCACTGTTGCCCATTGGTGTTATATGCTTTCCTGAGTGAACTAATCTGAAAAAATTGAGCAAATAAAACTATACAACAGTGATTTCATGAGGTTTTCATTATTATTAATATGAATGTCTCACCATGGTTTTTAAATTAAACACTAATGTTATAAACACCTATAAATCATATAAATACTAAACACCCTAAGTCAATGTGATGTTACACTGCAGGCAAGCAAGAAATCATAAACCAATTTCCAATAGTGGGGTACATAAACTAGTACACAACAATGACCAGGGGAATATAACATACAATATAACTGCATGGTGACATAAAAAGTAACCATAACAACAATACACAATAAATCTGCCATTTTCTCCCCATGATTAATGTCCATGTGTCTGTCAAAAATGGACGCTGGTTGCAACACTTAATTTTTGTCTTATATATTTCTGTAGTTGGATGAACACTGTGAAAATACAACAATACTTCTGTGTCAAAATGCAATACTTCTGTGTCAAAATACAATACTTCTGTGTCAAAATGCAATACTTATGTGTGACAAGGTAACAATTTGTATAAAATAAAGATTCAATCCTCGAGTGCCATAGTAAAGCAAAGAGTTAGCAATGCATGATAAAGCAATCATCTATGAAAAGAGTGAAAGCTATAGGTGCATTCATGAAATTATGTTCTTAAAACGTAGGATTGAATTTGCTCAATCTGCTTAAATTTTCTCAAAGGATGAAATTTCACATATGGAATGTGTCACAAGGATTACTAGTTTAACTCAAGGGTTACAAATGTAACCCACGGGTTAAAAGTGTAACTCAAGTCTGACTTGAGAGTAACAAGTATAACTCAAGGGTTACAAGTATAACTCAAGGATTACACATATAACTCAAGGGTTACAAGTGTAACTCAAGGGTTACACATATAACTCAAGGGTTACAAGTATAACTCAAGGATTACACATATAACTCAAGGGTTACAAGTATAACTCAAGGATTACACATATAACTCAAGGGTTACAAGTGTAACTCAAGGATTACACATATAACTCAAGGGTTACAAGTGTAACTCAAGGATTACACATATAACTCTAGGGTTACAAGTGTAACTCAAGGGTTACAAGTATAACTCAAGGGTTACAAGTGTAACTCAAGGATTACACATATAACTCAAGGGTTACAAGTGTAACTCAAGGGTTACAAGTATAACTCAAGGGTTACAAGTGTAACTCAAGGATTACACATATAACTCAAGGGTTACAAGTGACTCAAGGGTTACAGGTGTAAGTCAATGTTGAATGTAACATGCCCTCGCAGGGACGTCCACCATTTACCTAAAGATGTCTTTTTCCTTTCCATCATCCCCAACAGTTTTTGCCGCCAAAATTCCTGTCTCATCCTCACCAGATGGGGTTAGTGGTCTACCAACGTGCGCTACTCTATATACATAAGATATAAACGCATCACATACACACATGACATAATTTCATGATAACTGACACATGCATTCATGATAATAATATACTCATGATAATTTTCATGATAATTATCATGAGAATACTCAGAAAGCACTCATGATAATAAACATTCACAATAATAACAATGCTGTATTAACACCATACACCAAACTGAAAACATTTCTTAACATGCATGCACACAGAATGTACACAAAAATACTGACATTCATAAACTTTCATCAAAATATTTTTAATAAAAACAAATCTAGGAAATGAAGATAAAAAACCTATCAAGGGTTTTAACTTTAAAATTATGAGTAAGTGGAAACAATACGAAACATCAGATATTAGAAATGTATATTATAAATATTGTAGTGTTATTTTGGTAAGCAAGGTGAGAGTATGAATTCTGAGATATTACATCGCTGAAGCATGCTTAAGCAATTAGCGAATTGTCAGTCATAAACAGATTCTAATTGAGAGTCTAATGCTTCATTTCCTAAGCAACATTCGCATGAAAATACAAATGTAGTAGCTTAGCTTTCAGAATATATGCTTAAAACAACAAATGAAGCTAAATAAAATGAATCTTACAAAATTGTAATTTTTCTTTAACAAAATGAACAAAGTGGAAATAGTACTATATGTTTTTAACTGAAATTTGACGACTAAATAATTTTCCAAAAAATGGTAACATACGTAATCTCAACTGACCATGCATATGGCCTTGACATTGGAATAATATTGACTTTGGAAAAAATCTACTAAAATGTTGATGGATCCATCATTTCTGAGATTCTTATCTTTTCACACAAAAAATCAATAAAAAATGACCATCTTCAAATGTACACGTATGTAACCACGACATGACCCCAAAGCAAATACGGCAAATTTGAGGCAATTTGGTCAATGTTTATCTATGCAGTACCTGTCACTTTCAAATTACCCAATAGCCCCTAGCTTAATTGAATTGTCCACTGAAAATTGCCTAGACTTCAATCAAACACAGCCATCAAGTTTAATCTCGATACCCCAAGGATTGTTAAAATTCAGAAGTAATGTAATCGACCATATCTTGGGATTATACGTTTGACAGATTTTCGAATACTGACCTTGTTGACAAAAGTGGATGACTTTGAAATGGTTTTGACCAATCTTCTCGTTGCCATGGCGCTGCATTAAACAACAAAAGGTCTTTCTCTGTAATTGCTGCAAATACTGGTTTCCAAGTTGGATTTCCTTGTTCATTATGTATCTGGAAAGAAAATTTGCAAATCATTTTGTGTTTATTCATTCTGACCTTTTTTGTCAAATGGCCTGAAAATTTTGCTATAAGCAACCTGATAATGTACAAAATGTAAGATGGAGATGCAAGTTATAACTTAATTGCTTGAACCTTTTTTTTAAATTTGGATATTTTAAGATATGGATTAGATTAGATAAGATTCATATACATTTTAGATGATAAAAAGATGTTGGGTACTGGGTGGACAAGCAATGATAGTGTCCAAATATTGACATTTTTGAATTCTCAATTTAATCAGTTAAATTTGACTTGAAAATCGACAATTTTTACAAACAAAATCATCATTTACCTCTTTGAAAAAACCTCCCTTTCCCACAATTATTGATAATTGGTTGCTATTCTGAAATCATGATGTAGATGATCTGATACTAATCTTGCAATAAAATAATGATTTATTTTTGTACTTCAATTTGCATCATTTATGTAATGGCGGATAATGTCTAGCCAGGCACTATACTGGGAATTCCTTCATTTATGTCTGGTCTTTATTTTTTCGAAATCAATAAAATATTGCACTTCATTGAAATATATTTCGGAAAGAACACCCAAGGGTGCCACAGATTTGATTCCAGAACATGAATACAGTAACACCTCTTTATACAAACACCTCTTAATATTAACACCTCTCAATATGAACACCTCTCAATCTGAACACCTCTTAATGTGAACACCCCTCAATATGAACACACACAATTTTGACTCATATACTGAGAAACGTCGAAATGTGAAAACTGCTAATCCAAATGACTTTTGGACAAGACAGGTATTACTGTATAATCTATATGAGTAGATTTGCTAAACTCAAAAGAGTTATGAGCAAAGGCATTCATCGACCAGATTTCTCCCAATAAATTTCTTAAAAGGGAGCAAAAAACTGTAAAACTGTAAAAAATGGTATAAATTTCCCCCCCCTTATCTACCTAACAACTGTTGTTAAAGCAGAGAGAAGGGGTCCAGGGTCTTAGAGCCACACTACAATTCTTTAAAATCCCATAGAGGTTCTAAAGGATCAAAATCTAACTGGGTGCAGTGCTCAGTTGCTTGAAGATCATTGCAAGAAATATGAATAAATTCTTGTTTCATAATCTATTTGTCAATTACTAATACAGGCAATCAGAAAAGGTCATATGTCACCAGAATATGTATTAATATTTTGTGGCTGTATGTCACTGTGTTCTACAATATTGTAAAACAAAGTGGAAAGTCTGTGAAATTACAAAAAGTGCTCTACTTAGGGGTTATAAAATGAAGTTAATGGGTCACATAACTTTAAAACTGTTCTATTTTGGAGGTGTTTTACTTCAAGGGGATATGAAGTCACTTAAATTTAAAAACTATTTTACAAATAGAGGTATCTACTTGATCGTACAGCGAAACCTACTTAAAAGCTGTAAGAGGTGTTCAACTTAAAAATCCATTATTCCGGGATCAAAATTTTACAAACAAAAGATGAACTCTCTTCCCCTCAATTGAGGAGTGCCTCCCCCTTGTAAAACTATGGTACATACCTGTTCAGCCAACCACCCCATGTGTTTAATCTCTCTGGGAGTGCCTCCCCCTTGTAAAACTAAGGTACATACCTGTTCAGCCAACCACCCCATGTGTTTAATCTCTCTGGGAGTGCCTCCCCCTTGTAAAACTATGGTACATACCTGTTCAGCCAACCACCCCATGTGTTTAATCTCTCTGGGAATGCCTCCCCCTTGTAAAACTATGGTACATACCTGTTCAGCCAACCACCCCATGTGTTTAATCTCTCTGGGAGTGCCTCCCCCTTGTAAAACTATGGTACATACCTGTTCAGCCAACCACCCCATGTGTTTAATCTCTCTGGGAGTGCCTCCCCCTTGTAAAACTATGGTACATACCTGTTCAGCCAACCACCCCATGTGTTTAATCTCTCTGGGAATGCCTCCCCCTTGTAAAACTATGGTACATACCTGTTCAGCCAACCACCCCATGTGTTTAATCTCTCTGGGAGTGCCTCCCCCTTGTAAAACTATGGTACATACCTGTTCAGCCAACCACCCCATGTGTTTAATCTCTCTGGGAGTGCCTCCCCCTTGTAAAACTACGGTACATACCTGTTCAGCCAACCACCCCATGTGTTTAATCTCTCTGGGAGTGCCTCCCCCTTGTAAAACTATGGTACATACCTGTTCAGCCAACCACCCCATGTGTTTAATCTCTCTGAAAGTGCCTCCCCCTTGTAAAACTAAGGTACATACCTGTTCAGCCAACCAACCCATGTGTTTAATCTCTCTAGGAGTGCCTCCCCCTTGTAAAACTAAGGTACATACCTGTTCAGCCAACCACCCCATGTGTTTAATCTCTCTGGGAGTGCCTCCCCCTTGTAAAACTAAGGTACATACCTGTTCAGCCAACCACCCCATGTGTTTAATCTCTCTGGGGGTGCCTCTCCCTTGTAAAACTAAGGTACATACCTGTTCAGCCAACCACCCCATGTGTTTAATCTCTCTGGGAGTGCCTCCCCCTTGTAAAACTAAGGTACATACCTGTTCAGCCAACCACCCCATGTGTTTAATCTCTCTGGGAGTGCCTCCCCCTTGTAAAACTATGGTACATACCTGTTCAGCCAACCAACCCATGTGTTTAATCTCTCTGGGAGTGCCTCCCCCTTGTAAAACTAAGGTACATACCTGTTCAGCCAACCAACCCATGTGTTTAATCTCTCTGGGAGTGCCTCCCCCTTGTAAAACTAAGGTACATACCTGTTCAGCCAACCACCCCATGTGTTTAATCTCTCTGGGAATGCCTCCCCCTTGTAAAACTATGGTACATACCTGTTCAGCCAACCACCCCATGTGTTTAATCTCTCTGAAAGTGCCTCCCCCTTGTAAAACTAAGGTACATACCTGTTCAGCCAACCACCCCATGTGTTTAATCTCTCTGGGAATGCCTCCCCCTTGTAAAACTATGGTACATACCTGTTCAGCCAACCACCCCATGTGTTTAATCTCTCTGAAAGTGCCTCCCCCTTGTAAAACTAAGGTACATACCTGTTCAGCCAACCACCCCATGTGTTTAATCTCTCTGGGAATGCCTCCCCCTTGTAAAACTAAGGTACATACCTGTTCAGCCAACCACCCCATGTGTTTAATCTCTCTGGGAGTGCCTCCCCCTTGTAAAACTAAGGTACATACCTGTTCAGCCAACCACCCCATGTGTTTAATCTCTCTGGGAATGCCTCCCCCTTGTAAAACTATGGTACATACCTGTTCAGCCAACCACCCCATGTGTTTAATCTCTCTGAAAGTGCCTCCCCCTTGTAAAACTAAGGTACATACCTGTTCAGCCAACCACCCCATGTGTTTAATCTCTCTGGGAATGCCTCCCCCTTGTAAAACTATGGTACATACCTGTTCAGCCAACCACCCCATGTGTTTAATCTCTCTGGGAGTGCCTCCCCCTTGTAAAACTAAGGTACATACCTGTTCAGCCAACCACCCCATGTGTTTAATCTCTCTGGGAGTGCCTCCCCCTTGTAAAACTAAGGTACATACCTGTTCAGCCAACCAACCCATGTGTTTAATCTCTCTGAAAGTGCCTCCCCCTTGTAAAACTAAGGTACATACCTGTTCAGCCAACCACCCCATGTGTTTAATCTCTCTGGGAATGCCTCCCCCTTGTAAAACTAAGGTACATACCTGTTCAGCCAACCACCCCATGTGTTTAATCTCTCTGGGAGTGCCTCCCCCTTGTAAAACTACGGTACATACCTGTTCAGCCAACCACCCCATGTGTTTAATCTCTCTGGGGGTGCCTCTCCCTTGTAAAACTAAGGTACATACCTGTTCAGCCAACCACCCCATGTGTTTAATCTCTCTGGGAGTGCCTACCCCTTGTAAAACTAAGGTACATACCTGTTCAGCCAACCAACCCATGTGTTTAATCTCTCTGGGAGTGCCTCCCCCTTGTAAAACTAAGGTACATACCTGTTCAGCCAACCACCCCATGTGTTTAATCTCTCTGGGAATGCCTCCCCCTTGTAAAACTATGGTACATACCTGTTCAGCCAACCACCCCATGTGTTTAATCTCTCTGAAAGTGCCTCCCCCTTGTAAAACTAAGGTACATACCTGTTCAGCCAACCACCCCATGTGTTTAATCTCTCTGGGAATGCCTCCCCCTTGTAAAACTATGGTACATACCTGTTCAGCCAACCACCCCATGTGTTTAATCTCTCTGAAAGTGCCTCCCCCTTGTAAAACTAAGGTACATACCTGTTCAGCCAACCACCCCATGTGTTTAATCTCTCTGGGAGTGCCTCCCCCTTGTAAAACTAAGGTACATACCTGTTCAGCCAACCACCCCATGTGTTTAATCTCTCTGGGAGTGCCTCCCCCTTGTAAAACTAAGGTACATACCTGTTCAGCCAACCACCCCATGTGTTTAATCTCTCTGAAAGTGCCTCCCCCTTGTAAAACTAAGGTACATACCTGTTCAGCCAACCAACCCATGTGTTTAATCTCTCTAGGAGTGTCTCCCCCTTGTAAAAATAAGGTACATACCTGTTCAGCCAACCATCCCATGTGTTTAATCTCTCTGGGAGTACCTCCCCCTTGTAAAACTATGGTACATACCTGTTCAGCCAACCACCCCATGTGTTTAATCTCTCTGAAAGTGCCTCCCCCTTGTAAAACTAAGGTACATACCTGTTCAGCCAACCACCCCATGTGTTTAATCTCTCTGGGAATGCCTCCCCCTTGTAAAACTATGGTACATACCTGTTCAGCCAACCACCCCATGTGTTTAATCTCTCTAGGAGTGTCTCCCCCTTGTAAAAATAAGGTACATACCTGTTCAGCCAACCACCCCATGTGTTTAATCTCTCTGGGAGTGCCTCCCCCTTGTAAAACTATGGTACATACCTGTTCAGCCAACCACCCCATGTGTTTAATCTCTCTGGGAATGCCTCCCCCTTGTAAAACTATGGTACATACCTGTTCAGCCAACCACCCCATGTGTTTAATCTCTCTGGGAGTGCCTCCCCCTTGTAAAACTATGGTACATACCTGTTCAGCCAACCACCCCATGTGTTTAATCTCTCTGAAAGTGCCTCCCCCTTGTAAAACTAAGGTACATACCTGTTCAGCCAACCAACCCATGTGTTTAATCTCTCTAGGAGTGTCTCCCCCTTGTAAAAATAAGGTACATACCTGTTCAGCCAACCACCCCAAGTGTTTAATCTCTCTGGGAGTGCCTCCCCCTTGTAAAACTATGGTACATACCTGTTCAGCCAACCAACCCATGTGTTTAATCTCTCTGGGAATGCCTCCCCCTTGTAAAACTAAGGTACATACCTGTTCAGCCAACCACCCCATGTGTTTAATCTCTCTGGGAGTGCCTCCCCCTTGTAAAACTAAGGTACATACCTGTTCAGCCAACCACCCCATGTGTTTAATCTCTCTGGGAGTGCCTCCCCCTTGTAAAACTAAGGTACATACCTGTTCAGCCAACCAACCCATGTGTTTAATCTCTCTGGGAATGCCTCCCCCTTGTAAAACTAAGGTACATACCTGTTCAGCCAACCAACCCATGTGTTTAATCTCTCTAGGAGTGTCTCCCCCTTGTAAAAATAAGGTACATACCTGTTCAGCCAACCATCCCATGTGTTTAATCTCTCTGGGAGTACCTCCCCCTATATTCTGATTCACTTCCGCCATGGCTATATGTGTAAGCAACTCAATATTTGAATGTAAATTATGAAACCACTCTGACATAGTTTGTTCATCCGGGCACCGTAATATACATGAACTTTTAGCATCGGGACTGTGTAATTCAATTGTCCTATTTTCCGAATCAGGCATTGTTAGGTTTCGACATAAATAACATAGTCTTAATGGTATTGTCTTTTTTTCCGAGACTTGACTGTTGCGATCTCCTTTTGATCCCTCAGGGGTCCCCCATCCGAGGTCATTGAGTGCAGATGACTTGCGGAAATAGGGTGTCACTTCCCGTAAATATTTCACTGGAAATATAAAAATCAAAAAAATAAGATAGGTTTGATGAGTAACATTGTATGCAATACCAACATGTATTTCAAATAAAATATATTATTTATTATAATCCAGGGGTTATATTACCTACAATCAAGATGTAAATAAATCTGATAACTAGATAATGGCAACTCCGCGGAGTAGCAAATCCCAACGAACAAAATATCAATTACCGAATTCCAATCAATTATACTCATTACTTTGGTTGAAAATGAAAAAATTAGATTTTAGAATTGCGAATTCCTGCAAAGCAGCCATTTTGAATTTTCTGAGGTACAAATCTGAAAAATAATACCATAAATGTGATCTACTCCAAAATTCCTTCAATTTGAGTATAATATAGCCATACTTTGAAGGGATCGAAAAATTATTGCGAAATCGTACATTAGACATACAATATTTGCAATCTACTCTTAATTGCCTTTCATTTGAGTATAATAAAGCTATACTTCAGAGAGATCTAAAAATTAGCGAAAATTTCTGTTTTCCTGTCCCCCCATACATGGCCCCTGGGGGTCAGGATGAAAAACACTGAATATATGTGAAATAGATAAATGTTGTGAATACACTACCGAAATTTCAAACAATAATATTAATTACTTTGGTTTAGAATGAAAAATTTATGATTTTTGCGAAAAAGTCCCGTCAGTTTTAAAGCGGCGGCCATCTTGAAAATTTATTTTTTTTTGCGTAAAACTCTTCACCAATATACATGTTTCCACTAAATATGAAGAAAATCTGTCAACTAGTATTTGAGTTATCTTCCGGACAGACGGACGGACTGACTGACTGACTGACTGACTGACTGACTGACTGACGGACAGACGGACGGAGAGCTTCACTATATCCCTAACGAACTTCGTTCGTTGGGATAATTAACAATATTCTAACATTATATCTTGTAAGTATATTCCAGATATAAACATATTGACGACTCCTGATTATATATATGGTAACCTACAATTCGGTTGTAAATATAGCCTAGAATCCAGATATATATATTAAATGCATTATAATTATACAGCAAATCTGCAACAGAACCGTACGGAACTGTTTTGGAAATGGTACTGTACGGTACCGTGAAATAATGGTACAGTACAGTACCATGGACTAAAACGGTACCAAACAGTACAGTGAACACTGTACGGCACTATACTACCGTACGGTACCAAACTCTTAATGTACCGTATGGTACCGTGATTTTAGAGTGCTGATTGGGGGTGTAATAGACAATCAATATAGACAGTTGTTAATTGCCAGCTTGCAATCTGGGAGAGTGTCTTCTTGGTTCATTCACCAGGAGGAGGTTTGCCAGTTTGATGAATAAAAATCATTTTCAAAACACAGTGAAACTTGTATATCTGAACACCTCATAATGGGAAGACCTTTCCTCGGCCCCGAATTTGTTATCTCCCATTGCCTCACATATAAAGACAATTTGAAATGTGAATACCTGCTAATCTGAACATGTTTGGTCAGTCTTGGGGGTGTTAAGATAACACAGGGTTTTCTGCATTTATTTCCCAAGGGGCGATTCTGCTAGTTATAGACTTGGATCTAAATATATCGTACAATCCAGATATAAATATTCTTACAAGGAAAAGCTATTTGCGACCTTTACTGCGATTTTATCAGCAAATCTACTGGAATAACAGACAGAAAACCATGGCAACAAACAATGGATTCCTTCAGGATATCCAAATGTCAAGTATGTGATGTTTTCCCTCTTGTGTTCTGGGCACCTTATGTAATACAGACTTTCACTCTTAAAGAATGAGTAATACATGCACTTGACCCTTTTACATCATGGCCTGCACTTTTGTGACACATGAGAAGCAAGACCAATATTCTGTTTCTCCTAATGTGATACAGACACTATTACTTTCATAATACAGTAAAACTCGTCTGACATGAACAACTGACTGGGGCCAGCCAAAAGTGTTCAGATTGGCATGTGTTCATATTTCAGATTAAATCAAGAGGTGCTCAGATTAGAGGTGTTTGGATATACAGGTTTTTCTCTATTTATATTAAACATTTGACATTACCTGCCCCCCCCCCTCTAATTAAGACTTCTCTTGTCATGTGCAATCTACATTGTCTAGACAATCAGCCTCAAGAAAAATTCACATGACAAAGGTTGACCAGTTATTTTGGTCAAAATACTTTTTATATAAATTAGAATTTAAACAAACCGGGTGCAAATATGGCCTGAAAACAGAATTTAACTTTAAAACTGAAAAATTCAGACAGTTATGAAAAGAGGAAAAATGAATCACTTATGAAAGATTCTGGTAAGGTAATGTAACAAAGGGTGACCTTGAGTGAAATACCCGTCTGCTTGGCTTATTTCATGCTATTTCTCTCTAAGATTTGATTAAACTGTTCAATTTTCTTGCATTTCTATACAATTTAGAGTATCAACTTTATGCATATTTACTTTATTTCTCACTGATTTCTCTCTTTTCCACTCTATTTTGCAATTTAAAACAAGACCATCAAGATTTTTATTCAGAGATAAATCTAATCCAGTCTCACAAGGGAAATCAACCCAACTTCAATACAAAACTGACATTTGGGAAATTGAGGGACTTATAAATCTGCAATTTATGAATACGTATGCTCTATAAAAGCACTATTGAGAAAAACAAACAAATTGGGTTCATTTTTAGTATGGTCAATTATCGCAAATGTTCAACCATTTTAGATAAAACTTGAAAATTATGGTGATAATACTGTATCAAGTAGAGAGATTAATTCCATCCAGGGAATCAAAATTGATGGATTACAAGAAATACGTTTTTCATTTGTCTTACTATGGAGGCTTAACTGTAGATTAGTCGGTCAGAGATATCTAAACAATATCGATAAAACCAGGCTCAAAGCTAACACCAACAAATCTTTATGAATAGTATCAGTAAATAAAATCTTGGAGCCTGATTCACCAGTAAGAAAAACACATTAAGAATCGAGGATCTGAAAACATGAGTTAACAAACCCCATGGGGACTGTGAACACGGATCAGATGAATGTTAACATACAATATCAAATGTAATTGTTCTTCAACCAATTTGAAACAACAGTAATGATCTAATCTGACAGATTCGCGGAGTTCTGATCAGCTATACATATTCCCTTTCCAATTACAACTCATAGTTATTCATTTGATAATTAGTTGATTCATCTGAAGCTAAATGGAATAGAACTGACTCATTATATAAATATAGTTTAGTGGCACATTTTGTTAAAAAGCACATCAATAATACTTTTGTGATAATACTGTAAACTGAGTAAGGTATAAACCATTTTCTAAGTAAAGTGATCAAATATAAATGGTATTTTTAAGAGAATTCCTAGAAGGTTTGTATGATAAAATCCCAAGGTTGACTAAAATATAAGAGCAAAAGCCAAAACTATACTATACTGCTCATGCTTATTTCACTCAATTTCCCTCTAAAATTTCTATAAATTTTTTTTGACATTTCTACATAACTGAAAGTCATCATCATGTTTCTGTTTATTTTATTTCTTGCTAATTGTTCTCTTTTTCTCTCTAAATCACTTATCAAGCATAACCATATCCAAAATTGCATCTGGCAATTTACTCTAAAAAAGGAAAGCGAGTGCCTTTAACAAAGGAAAGCGAGTGCCTTTAACATATTATATGGAAACAATCAGAAAAAATGTATATGGGGACGAAAGAATTCTTAAAATGTTCAAGATCAGAAACATCAAGAAACAACATTTTGAATAATACCAGAACATGATTTCATAATTGGAAACAATAGTATTGAGTAAAGTCTGGGAGTCAAATAGAGATAGTAAAGAAAGAATGTAGTATCTACCACTTGTATTGCTAAAGTGCTTCTATGACATTGAGGCAATCTTGCTCAATGATTTCAGATATATGCAAAATATATGTCAATGTAGTTTTATAAAAATAAATCATTATATATGCTTTTTTTAACTGTGTCATAATCTACAAATCATACAAAATCTGGGCATTTAATTTTTGTCAATATTGACGCTTTTTTTATAAAACTGCAAAGATTTCATATTTTTTGCAAGTACACCTTCATCTTATCTAAAGATCCCAATTATGCACTTTGCCAATTGGACTTGCTCATTACTGTAAATGCTCATTTTTCAAAAAGGAGATAAAATACATGAATACAACAGAAAATTTCAAGATGAACTCAAAACATTTGAGGTGGATTAATTTTGCATGAAGAGAAGATAGAACAATTTGAAATACAAAAACAACTATCTCAAAGGGTTAATTCTCTATCTTGAAGTGTCTTCTGCTCTGGCTTATTTCAATCAATTTCTCAGAAAAATTTGACTGAGCAACATAATTTTTTCACATTTTTGTATAATTTAGGGCATCAATTATATGTTTATTAACTTTATTCCATGCATTTTCCTTTAATTTTCATGCTATTTTACAATTTAAATTGAGACCAGTGTGATTCTTTTACGTAAGCTTTAACATCTCCTCATCTCATGAAGAATTCTACTTCTGGTAATACTTTATCCAAACTTCTAAAAACATCATCTTGGGTAGGATTTCTTTTTACAGAAAATAATCATCTTGTAGATTTTAGTGAGAAATATCCCAAAATATCATCTAGGGACTTATGACTCTTTAGAATCATTCCACGAATTACCCATGCAAAAAGTAACATTGTCATGATTTGAAGATCAAAATATAAAGTGCAAAATACAAGGTACATGTACAGTAAAACCTCTATATTGGAACATCCCTTTAATCCAAACTTGTCTCTATCATTAAGAAAAATAGCAAGAAACATCATGAAAAATGAAATCAATATCCCTAACTATGATCTAATGTAAACACCCTTCCCCCATCATTCATCATTATCACAGCCAAAACAACAAAACCAATGACCATGGAACATTTAATTCATACTGAAGACATCCCAACATATGTTGAAAAACCAATGAAAAAACA